CTTCTTATTCCCGACGTAATGTGTCCTTTGGCCTTCCTTTTTTCCGCTTCCCTTCACGATTCCAAGTTAGCGCTTGCCTCGTGATACAGTTTGATGATTTCAGTAAAGTAAGTCCTATCCATTTCCATCATCTTTTCCTAATTTCTTCAGCTGGAAGCTGGTTTGTTTTCTCTCACAGAAGGCCGTTGCTGATGGTATCCGACCAATGGATGCTGAGTATCTTGTGTAGACAACCATTTATAAATACTTGTACCTTGTTGATGATGGTTAGGTTCGGAACTGGGTTATAGTTTATTGTGAAGAATCAAGATTAGTATTTAGAGTTAAAAGTTATGGCTAGAGTTTTCATCATAAATTGACATCGGTCTATATGTCTAAATGCTATTTGACCATGTGGATGAATGTATTTCACATCGAAATCCAAGACTTATTATCTTAAATCCGATTGATCTGTCATAGCCATATAGATTATTTCCTCTACTGCACGCATTACGATTTTAGAACCTCTGAACCTCTTTCTAATCTTGACAAGTTTTTGAACCACGTATAAGAAGTGTATCCACTTTAATTCTTTGGTTTTCTATAATATATTTTTACTCTATACTGACTGTTTGCTGATTGGTTAATATTTCTCAAGGTCACTCAAGATTCGTTCAATGGTCGTTCGTAAATTAGAGTTTCGGCGATAGAAACACATTGATATAACACACAGACGACTTCAAACGAAATCGAACTTAGGTGTTATGGCGTGTGATTGCTAACGAATGTGATGTGTTAATTCATTAATTAGAAAATTCTAATTTTAATCTTTTTTCCTTCGTGTCTACTATTTCCCCAATGACCTGGAACCCCCATATTGACCAATTACACGCCTGATCAGCACTATTGACCCTAGGATGAAAGCTAAGTTCCTATTGATCAGTTGTTCGTAAACCCCTTTCTACACCACTGAGATTCTAACTTTATTATATTTCAAATAAGCGTGGTTTATGTACCGATATACTAGACCGCGTTATACCATAAAATAAGAAATCACAAATATACATAAACGAGCCAAAAGTGACCGTGAATAAGTGATTGGCAATAAGTAATATAACGGTAGTCAACGGGTTACCAGAAGCTTATGACAATTGGGATAGAAATTCATAATAATTGATTTATTCATTAATCATAGAACAAGATGATAATAAATAGTAATTCAGAAAACCAGTTTCAACTTTCACAATGTTCCTTGCATTATAACACTAATACGCTGCTTTTAGACTACTGATTACGGATTGGATTTTCAATGTTTGCAATCGTAGTTAAGTTTTAGGGATTGTCTGCTTAGTCGGATCACTATTCTATTGAATCCGTGAATACAAAGTTCGGTTTATGTCTATGAGACCGTTGGCTTTTGTTTAACCAAAGTGCTCACTAAGTGTGTTGATGACTATTGATCTATTCAGATAACTTCTTTCTCAAACTACTCACTCAAAGCAAGAGAACAACAAACCTATTTACTTTCCTAATGACACGAAAACTCATTATATGTATGCTACAAACGATAATGCACTACGAACTGTAAACCAATAGAAGTAAATAACTAGGTCATTCGTGGGAAAAATAGTTGAGAAACTGTGAAAACAGTCCACGGATGAACTCGAGGAAGCCCTTAGAAGCTCAGAAAGAGCTACAGATATTCCGTCTAATCATCTTTTGGAAGAATGTTCCAGAATCACCACATGGAACTTTTAATAAATGAAACGAAAGCTTAAAAGTAGGGTAATATAAAAATACCGTCAACAAAATAGTCAGTAAACCTACAATAAGAATGTAATTAATGATTCATCTTTGAAAAGTCATTAATGTTCCACATTTCCCATTTATTCTTCATTATCCTACGTTTATATGACTCTTCTTGTTCGACACTTATAAAGTAACGTAATAACACTTAACGTCCAATGTTAAATAAGGTGTACAAAATTGACATACTATATCTATACTGTTAAGTGAATTAGATCAATGGTAATATTTTGTATGACGGGTTTACAGAGACTATTGAACTCCATAGTTTATGCTACAGACTGACTTTGGTTGGACGACAGTTGAAAGCTAAGAAGCATTGCACAAAGTTTTCGTTCTGAAATGGGGCTCTGAGACAGTGATGTGTGCTACTGATGTCGACAGATATAAGTAGTATGTGACACCAATCAGAAGTGGAATGCCTGGAGGTAGAAGGTTGAGAAAATCAAAGCGAACGAGAGCAGAGAGTGATTGTTATGGAAACAAAGGAACAACAAAGTCTGAGACAATCGATGGATATTTTGCAAACGAACCATTTACTGTATGGTTCTCAGATTTGACTAAGACATTCTACAATGTTGTATTAAAATACATTCGTTTGTACTCAATTATATTCTGGTTCACTACAGTGTATATTTATTATCACATCGGGAATCAAGCCTACGACCTTAAAATCTTTTGTTGAACTCTGAAGCTTTAGAAATTTGAATTGGCACCCAATGGTATATATGTCTAATTTAAATCAGTCTGTGATATTGTCCAATGATCTTTATTATGTTATTGGTGGGTAACTGCCTCACATCCGATATAGTCGAACTTTACTAGTCATAGCTACTCACTAGAATTGCGGATTAGGTCTCCGTTGGCACCATGGATATGCATTTCTGAGTAGTCCTATACTAAAATGAAAGAGCTGTCTAGTGCTTCTTTGTTTTCAATGATTGTCTAACTAAGATCAGTCCAGAATATAGACTTAATAATTTTTGTTGTTGTTGATGATAGTCTATTGTTTAAATTCTTTTTCCTGTTAAATATTTTCCTATCTTTTCTTTAATGTCAGATTCGTTATGCAACAGTTAGTCGTTTACTTGATCGACTAACTGATGCCAGATTCTTATCCATAGACTTTTTGAATACTTTTCTACTTACCTACCGTGTATTTACCACTGGTCTGTCGGTGATATGGGCATTAAATCAAGTTCTAGCGAATCCGGATATAGAAAATGGTGGAAATGCACCATATTCTAATCAAAATCAATCATTTACATAGTGAGTGTTTACTACTTTTTCTCGTTGTTACTATGCAACTTTTAAAAAACTATTTGTTACGAGATATTATTCTAAAATAACTTGTGAGAAATTCTAAATTACGAAACAGGAGATTCTCCGAGTACTATATGAGATGTTCACTGACTATACAGACTGGAAACCTAATAAAAATGAACTTTAACGATTGTACTTTGCCCGATTGAAGAGAAAGAATTCGGGAAAGTCAGAGCTGAACTAGAGCAAGTCTGTTTATGAAGTAACAACTATAAACTGGGTATACCACAAAAACAACAAACTAAAAAGAGAAAGTAAGTGATCAGATAACATCAAAGGTCAGTGAGATAAAATGAAATTCAAAAAGTTATCGAGATCTTCCGTAAAATAGAAGGAGACCAGAAAATTTAAGATTTTAGGTGGTCGTAGAAGAAAATCAAAATTCAAACATGAAGTTTCGGTTCTATCAAAACTGTAGATACATCGTTTATTCAGTGATTATGAACGTGAAATGTAGGCCTATATGTTTCCACACATTAGTCTTAAGCATCTAGATTGAAACATAATGAATAATGACGTTTAGACTGCTGGCTACATTGATCTGTTTGATTGACAGATGCTGTGGGGATTGATGACTAAACTACACATGACACTAGTTTCTACTCTGCTCCTCCAAACAGTTATAATTTCATTATAACCAATTCGCGGAGTGAGAAACTGGAATTTAGAAAAATCTTAGGTTAGTTGTATTCTCTTATTTACATCGCGTAATGAATTTAGTTAGATCGATCCTTAAAAATCGAGAAATATTGGAAAAATCATCAACAGTATACATCCACATGTTCTCCAAGAGTCGAACCCAGGACCTTCAGGTCTTCCGGTGAGCTCTCAACCTTCAGATCACTGAGTCGAAATACATTGGTTTGTATGTCTAAATTAAGTTAACCCATGATGTTTTACAACCATCTTCCAATGCCGTTAGTAGTGCATGACACTTGAGATGATTGAACTTCACTGATCACAGCTTCTTTCTTCTTCAAGTCTCATGATTTTATATATTCTTCGATCTTATTCAGAAATTTATTCACAACCCATATTACCAATCATATCGATGAAAATATAGCGTCCAACTGATGATAATGTTTGTAGAGCTGTGACTGCTGAAGATTCTGCTTAATATCAAATGTTATTTTGATTCTGATTTAAATGAAGCACCATAACTTTCATCAGTCTCATATTAATTTCTAAGCCATGACCACTGGAATTTAACCATATTGGCTGTGAGACATTTCATCACCATAGGAAACGGATGAGAGATATGCATTAACGTGAATTGATTGAAGTTAGACATTAACATCGTCGGGTGCCAGCCCAGTATCCAAGACGTCAAGCATTTGTGAGTTAAACCGAAGGTCCTGGGTTTAATCCATGTAAACGAGGTCGTGCATGAGCACACTCCTGATTGTACAATATGTATGCTAAATAACAACAATGTAATACATTCTTTGTCCTTTTTTTGTTTTTTTTTGTGTGTTTGAAATCAATCCTAAGCTCTCATTTTGAAAATCCTGAACAACGTGATCGATTATATACAGCTAGACCATCAGAAGTTTCATTGAATATAAATCGTTTACCTGTTTTAGAAGAAACTGTACATAGTAACACGGATGATATATCATCAAGTTCAAATTCTATTACACAAATAGAAAATCAATTAGAAACTAATAATACTACTACTAATAATAATATAATCAGTAGTATATCAAATCAATTAATGACAAATTTATCATTAAACAAACAAGATTCATTGATGAACAATGAATTTTCAATCACTTCATCGCCATTACCAACAACAGTTCATTGTACTACTACTACTACTACTACTACTACTACTACTACTACTACTACTACTACTAATAATAATAATAATAATAATAATAATAATAATAATAATAATAATAATAATAATAATAATGTATCAATGAAATTGCATAAAAAATCAATTCCTCGTCCATTATCTACATCAGAAACAGTCAAATATTGTTCACCTTCTATAACAATATCAAATATAATGAGTCGATCAGCAATCAATGATAGTCATAGTTCATCATTATTATTTGATAAACAATCTAATAAACATTTGATGAATAGAAGTTTTCAATCATCTACAATTGTTACCATTCCAATTCAAACAACAACTACAACGATGTTAATTCCACGTTCACCTATTTATAGTAAATTTGTTGATTTAAGAGATGATCCACCATTAGAGTTGCCTATTTTACCAGATTTAAAAACAGTGAGTTATTATTATTGATTGGTTGCTATTAACAGTATATTAGTTACAATAGGTATAAGCTTGTACAAGTTTGTATGTATCTGTATATCCTGAATTAACAAGTCAAGAATTTTCAATTTATTGATTGAGATCTTGAACCGATTAATGTTAAATCACTGTTGGAAACCTGGAAGCACTGGATGGCCTATTGTGGGACTTCACAGTAATGCGCATCCACGAGCACGCTCGCAGGATTCGAACCCAGGGCTTTTAGTCTTGCGCGCGAACGCCTAACCTACTAGACCAATGAGCCGGCATCCAATGGTATTAGTGTCTAACATCGACCAATCCACAAAATTGCACGACAATCTTCCACTGTACTGAGGTAGATACCTGTCTCTACCGGACACGGATTAGCTCCACTGGTCACGGCTACTAAGGAGTCCCACAATAGGACGAAACGGCCGCTCAGTGCTTTCAGGTCTTCAACACTGGTCTAACATCAAACGGTTCAAGATCTCAATCAATAAATTAATAATCTACACATACTCTATAATGATGAAATTTTTTAGGATAGGTTTTTTTCCACCAAATGATCAGTGGCCCAAATCAAAGTCTACTTTGAAGACTGAGAGTGTGGGAGTGAAGTAAGTTGATTACTTATATTTGGAATTTAATCAACTGAGGGTAGATCGGTAGGTGATAAGATCCCTAAAAAAAACTCTCTTGACATTTACCAACTTATGTTAGTTGTAGTTTAAGGGAGATATCAATCTGTTAACCTAAAGGCGATTATACTGCACAGAGACTTAATATATATTACTATATTGTGGTGAAGTATGGCCTATATAAGTAGATATGCATAGATTGAAAGTATTTACATTATAATTATTGTCAATCAACACTTTCACTTCACTTATTATTAAATCTGATGTATTTAATCTGTCTCCATTAGTTTGGAACTACTGTGTTAGTTTCATACCTGTAGAGATAGGTGACATTTTAATCAATGTGAGCAGTGATCAGCAGAGTTCAACCGGGTCTGTTGTGAGATAGTAACTCACTGATGACAATGATGGATGTGTCGCTCAATTTCGTGGATTAGTTGAATTTAGACATTAACACCGTTCGATGCCGGTCGGCTCAGTGGTCTAATTGTCAAGTGCGTGTGCGCGGAAGTGGTAGGCCCTGGGTTCGTGGTTGCGCATTGCTCAGGAGTCCCATACTGGTATTTGCAGGTTTTCCATGGTGGTCTAGCTCCAAATGACTAACGATTTCAACTTTACATACTTGATTTTCAGGATGGTAATAATTACAGTAATAGTGATACAAAACTTCTGTTAAACATGGTAACAGTAAGGTAGAATAAAGAAAGATATTATAAAGATTTTTTAGACAGAGTAACTAATATAAGGATGGTGGAGATTTATAGCTTTTGATGGAGTTTTGTTCTATGAACTGGATGGTTTAGTCATCGAGCTTTCATCGTTCTCCTGATGTTTGTGTAGATGATGTCGTCCAGAAGAACGATGAAAGCTTCATGACCAAATCATCCAGCTCAGAGAACAAAACTTCATCAAATTAACTAATAATAGTTTTATTGTTAAAGCCTTGAATCTTCATCATGAGGATAAATGGGGAAATTATAATCAGGGACGGATGGCTCAGCATGCTAAAATAAGATGTTGAAATTGTAATAAATTATAATCATGAGGATCATAGGAAACATAGATAAACCAATTGAGGGTAGAAGATCTATGAAGAAGATGAAAGGGGTAGCAGATGGCTGTAGAGGAAGGAAGATATAAAAAAAGAAAATAAGAAAGAGAATTACGAGACATTAGGACCATGGTAAAAGAAGAGGTTGTACCATTTCCTTTTGGATACACAATTCTGGTTTTCCCTGATATATGGCTATTGATTCGGCAATGTTAAAAAGATCCAATATAACTGCCTTTGGCAGCCTTCTACTTACCTTGTTGATGATTTTGAACACAGAGTCCTCCTTGATTAAGTGACCTATGTTCCCAAGATATTCGATTATGAGGCTTTTTGTTGAACCGTTTCCGTCTCCTTTAACCATTCAGGGTAATGTTCTTGAATTATTTTGGATAAAGTACACATTGAACGACCTGGTAAATAACTTTATTTATTCTACTTCACTGTTTAACACAAGTTTATTATCATTATTACTGTAATTATTGTGATTATAATCATCCTGTAAAGTAAATATGTATATTTGGGATTGTACAGCGTTGAAAATGTATTCACCAAACATAGAACCCTTCAGTGAACTAACCTTTCTTATCGATGTTTCAATGAATATATTCCATTGACTGAAACATTTATGTTTTTCATTTTCTTTCTCAAAATACTCCTTCTTTGATTAGACGGAGAAAAAGCAAAAACAACCGGAATTCAAACAAAAAATAGACAATATCACCTCATCTAATTCATCTTCAATTGAACAAAATGAATCTATGAATAGTGTCAAAGAGCATACACGTTTAGCTCCATTAGCATCATGTGAAGTAATACCAGATGAATCGGAGACAATCAATATTAAACAAGAATCATTCAATAATAAACAATTATCTGTATCTATAAACAATAATGTAAATAATATAGATAATCAATATCAATCTAATCCCGGTCTAGCTAATTCTCTCAATCCTAATTTACATAATATAACATGTAATCATTTAGATAATCAATTGGATCAATGTAGAACTGTGTTCAATGAAGAAAAACATTACAAGTTGGATCATGTTGAAATAATAAAACAGGAAGGAATTAAAACAGGAGAACAATACAAGCATAATTTATTAGCAGACATATCAAAATCAGATGTGGCCATATCCATTTCATATGAAAATCAGGTAAAATTATGAAAAAAACTAATTTTGTCAACCCTTAGTACTGTTAAAGGTATGAGGGTGGTTATCACTTCTCGGTTGCCCACATCATGGAAGGGTTCTACTGAAGGTATCTGAAAAAGAAATTGGATTAGAGTTTGTCTTAGTGACCTGAGAGCGTGACGACAGTGCTTGAGACCGGTCCTACACAGCCGTTTTGTGGGTGATTTTTGTATTGGTGCTGTACTTGTTTAGACCTTACCGACGGAGACGGATATCCATGGAATAAGGCTAGGTGTGCATTTTAAGGGTCGATCTTTTCCAACCTCATCCTTCCTTCTGGGAAGGCATTGTCACTGTTATGATGAGGGAAACACCTTATTACCGTCAGACCTCTATACAATCAGCAGTACGACTTCACCCTCGGACCTTGGGTTTACTGTTTTTGGTTTTATCGCCCATTAACCGATCTGCCTGAAATGGTAGGACCTTGAAGAACTGTTGTTCTAGACAGTACATCCCGATCTGTTCATTACAACAGGCAAATTCTACCATCACGTCAAGGTAGTAGCAATGGTCGAGATATATTTTTTCGAGATTTTATAAATATTAGTAAACCAAGGATCATATTTATATCACAGTAATATAAAACCATTTTTACAGTTGATCAATCATTTTGTAGTGAACAATGTTACATTAGCTTAGTCCCTTTAATACTGATGGAGTTCTGTCGATCATGTTACAATGTGGCCACTAGCCTTAATGATTCAACATCACATGCACTATGTTTTCACATGGGATAGTTGGAGATAGTCGACAGGAAACTTAACTCGACCAAGGTTCCATACTATTTAGCACCACTCATTTACAAGATGTACCTGTAATTTTGATGGAACTGATTCTCTTTGACAGAGTCAATTCCGTGAAACTCAGTACTTTAATTTAAGAACAGCTTCAAATAGAACAAAATCTAAATCTACGATACCTTGTTAATTACATCCAATCACTTAAGAATTCATTTTTATTTTATGAATTCACTTCATATGCTTATAGACTAGAAAGAATAACATGAATTATTTAGGAAATACAAACAAAAACGGTGTACACACTTTGGGTGCAAAATGTTCTGATTGAAATTGGGTATAGTGAATAGATGCATATTAGGACAAGTCCCCAAACTATAGAACAATTAAAACTGGTTTTCTAGCAATACGTTTAGTAAAGCGTAGTAAATTTGAAGTCATTCGCTTATTGATTAACTTGAAAGACATTGAAATGTTGACATTATGTTTACTGGCAAAAAGGATTAGCTTGTAGCGTGGTGTCGAGTCCCAGTTGACTATGAACACCGCTACTGAGAAATACGTGCCAATAAAATCAGAAGGAGGAATAGAACCAAGTTTATTTGATTGGCGATCTCGTGGTATCGAAAGAATACCAAGATCGCGCCAAGAAATGGTACAAGCAGAAGCAGCAGAAGGGATTACGTGAGAGCGAAGTCACTAACCGCGAAACAATAACGGAGAATAATGGTAGCACAATATGTCTGTCATTAGCACAGTTAAACAAACGAGCACAGTAAAACAACCACTGGTGCAATTGGTTATAATAATAATTGTTTTCATTAGGCCAATCGCGTTCTCGTGATAAAAGTAAGTCACTACAGGAGCTCTCCGCCAGAAAGGGTTTATACTTTTGATGAGTAGCAGTTTAAATTGTGGGACTGATCGTCTGACGAGCGATTGTAGGACAGAAGAATTGGCGGAACAGGAAAGCAATGGTTGATCGTCGAGTTGCCAACGAAGGTCTTTTATCGGAGAACGGTACCAGGGGCAGTGTGTTGTATTTGTTGCTCGAGTTGTCATACCACACCAGAGTGGTTTGTATCCAGAATCTGAAGATTGCGTTCGTAGGGATGCGGACCAGAAACGCTGCAGACGTAGGACGGAACCACGTTGAGCCGAGGAACCAGAAGTGACCATAACGAGCAAGTTCGAGACCAAGCGTATGCCAAACATTCGAAACCAAAATGTCGACTGAGTGCGTGGGTGGCCAGACCAGCTTTCGCCAAAGTTGACTGAAGTCGACGTTACCAGACGGGAATGGTCAGAGGCGTGGGCTCAGGATGCAGAAAAAAAATCAAAAAAGAGAAAAGTGTATCATGCATTTAGTATAGGAATAATCCTACACTGTATCCATTATTCACTGTGCAGTTAGTCGCGAAAGCGCACGAGTAAGCGTACTCAGAGACCAGAACGTGAGACTGTAGTCTCGTTCGTATTTCGTGATCCTGCAATCTCATCCAAAGTCAAGGGCGGTGTGGTCTGCTGGTCTGGACGCGAGATTGAAGTCTCGTCCGTAGATGATGCAGATGACACGTGCTGTTGACCGGAACGTGAGAATGAGGTCTCAGATGTATCTATCGTGGGATTTGAAGTAGATGTAAAAGTCCTGCTAGTAGATTTGATAGATCTAGCATTGGGTCTCAAGCTATCTAGTATGGCACTGTCATCGACGTGTGCTGGTTTGAGACGATCAATGCTGACGATCTCGACGCAGCCATGTCGATCAACCTTGAAGGTCTTTTCGTGACGAGCGATCACGTGAAAAGGGCCTTCGTAAGGTTGTTGCAAAGGTTTGCGTACCGAATCTACTCGCATGAAAACATGTGAACAGGTAGATAACTCTCGAGGGAGAGCGACCTGTCGATGTTGTATTCGAGTTGACACCGGAGGCAGCGTTCGCATAAATGCAGACAGTCATTAGACGTAGTCTGATTTACCGAAATCATATCTGCTCCGTGGTGTGAAGAATTCCCCAGGCAGACGCAATGTCGTGCTGTATACAAGTTCAGCGGCGGAACATTGGATATCTGCCTTCAAGCTCGTTCTGATACCTAAGAGGACGAGCTGTAAGGTTTCGTACCAATTGTCGTTTCCGTGTGCTAGCAGAGTACTTTTAAGTTGGCGGTGAAACCTTTCAACTAAACCATTTGAAGCTGGGTGGTAGGCGGTAGTGCGTATGCGTTCCGTAACAAGCAGCCGAGTCAGTGAGAATAGTTATTTGGGGAAATTTCTCGAATAAAACGTGGAGTATATCGTCACGCGAATGGAAGACACCTAAGATTTGGTACGCGTACACTGGAGTCTAATATATTAATATTATTCTTATCGTTATCCGTCATGTCGAGTATATTATATATTGAAAAATATTAATATGAAAATATACGACAGACATGGATAGACAAACGATAGACTCACCGCAATTGGCTTCCTTGGAAGGTTTGACCAGAGGTTGAGAAGTGTTCGTACTTTTGGGTTCACCAATTGTAGCATGGAGTCGAGTCCCAGTTGACTATGAACACCGCTACTGAGAAATACGTGTCATTAAAATCAGAAGCGGAAGTAGTGTGTGAAATGCCTGGAAGCAGGAGATTAAGAAGATCGAAGAGAGGAAAATGAGTGATTGATGTGAAAGCGAAGGAACAATGAAGTATGAGATAACTGATTGACATTTTACAAATGAAGTATTTACAGTAAAAGTTATCCGATCTTACTAAAAGATTCTGTGATTTCTCAGTTGAATACATTCGGTTGTATCGACTGGCGTTCTCATTCACTACAGTATTGGTATTAGTGGCACTAGTATTTGTACAAAGAGATTTTTTCCATATTATCTACAGAAATTAGTCATTTTGATGAGAAATAGATTGAATACTGACTACTTGGATTATTGAATGTTTATATTGAATACGAATTTTATGTTTGATGCCTTTTTTTCTCTCTCCTTAAAAGCCAACTGAACATTTTAAATATCCACCAACCGAAGAGATTGATTCTAAGAATGTTACAAAGACAAATGAGGAAAGTTTAGATCAATTAACGATGTTGACTAATCAACAACAATTGAGTTTTCTTCATTGGCCATCTAATAATCTTATTCATAGCAACAGTAATAATAACAATAATAATAGTCAGTATTCAAAACTAAGAAAATCTCCATCATCCCTTAATTATTCAAATGATAATAATCGATTATTAGAGAGTTATTTAAATCAAACTATTGGTTCATCATTATTGGCAACAGAAACCAATACAGATCGGATACAATCACGAAGAAGTTTTGATAAAGTTCCTGAAGGTAAAGATTCATTTATTAGTAATCATAATAAATTGTGATTTATTATTTCATGCATAGTATCCAAGATACATTATTGATGACATTCGATAAATGTATAGTATTAAGCTGAATATCTATTTATTTATTTATTTAAATACATAAACATTGGTACAAGGATGCACCAAATAGATATGCGCCACATAAATCGAGTGATTTATGTTAGGGCTGGGATACAGTCCGGGAGCCCGAACCGAGACAGATGGTTTTCCTAAGGGGCCACACCTGGAGCCTTCGACCTAAAGATCTGATCCACAAGGCAGTGAAGCAACATCAGGAAGTGCAATCTTATGGTAGCCGATGACCAACAATAGACTCATACGTGTTTTGTTCCTTCAAGATGCTGGAGTCCATATACACAATTGGTTTAGAGTCAGGGTTTTCCAACTCCCCCAGGTGGACTCTCCGTGTCCAACGACCCGGTTAAAGCGCCGAACATTCGCTTTTTGTCCTCTCAATTTCGTAAACAACACCCGTGATGTGAGAACACTTGCGAGTAGGACTTCTTTGGCAGTGGCTGTATACGCGCGATCATATGAGAACATTCGGAAAGAGAGAGCTGATTCTCCCAACTCTCGGCCGTACCAGGAAATTTGGGGCCGTAAAACTGAATAAATCAGATTAAAGAAGATAACTGGTAAATTTCTGAGTGAGATTCAAAAATGAAAATGAGTAGTAGAAATACCTTCGTATCTACACTATTCCTTAGTTCTCAAAAGAACCTCAATCTAATCGCATTGCATTATATGGATCAACCAATCAGATAAAACCACTTGGATTTTCTTTTCATTTTGCAAACATTTCATCCAATTTTGTGGTTATAGATCATTTTTTTTATTCTAGTTGATGTTAGTTCTCAATGAAAAAATTTAACCCTAACCCCCTGATACTAATTATCTAGTCCTAGCAACAACCAAGAAAAAACATGAGGAATCCTAGAAACTCATTCGGCACCTTCTATGGGCACGAGAAGGTGTATAATTTACTATCTATATTATCAGAAGGGGTTTGTGGAGATTTTATATTTGCTTATTCTTTATATTGTATAAGAAGATCAACTTGTAAAATATTTTAATAGATTCATTCAATGTGTATAATCTGTTCGTTTTCTTTTCCATGAACAATCCATATACAGAAGATACTTTTTGATTGATCATGAACTGACTAGAAATTCATCGTGGTTATTTTAACATCGTCCTCATGTTATAATCATGGTTAAAATACTTTTCTCTTTTTTGAACATGTTTACATTCATTTAGTAGGTCAATATTACATTACTGGCTAACGCATGTTACTCCTAATCGAGCATAGGCCGCCAACCAGCATTCTCCAATCCACTCTGTCCTAGGCCTTCCTTTCTAGTTCTAGCCAATTTTCGTTCATTTTTCCCATATCTTTTTCCATTTCTTGGTGTAATGTGTTCTTCGGTCTTCGTCTTTTCCTTTGACTTTGAGGATCTCATATGGGGGCTTGCCTTGTGACGCAGTCCCATATTGCATATAAATGTATAATTTTCACTAAGGATTTCGTTTCAATCATTCAAGTACTCATCCACTATGTGAATGGTAAATCATTCAAAAGTACTTGATACTGTACATATATTGTGTTAATTATATTCATAACTAATCAATCAAATCGTTTACTGTAAATTTAAATAGTTTAGTTAGGATCGAATAGCTTGGTTCCTGGTTTCATATAATGGTTAGATTTATTATTGAAACTACACACTTGATTTGACAGCTCTTTTGGTGATTATGGGTCAGCTTACTATCCAATATAAATGTTATCAACAATCTTGTTATTAGAAACACTCGACAGCTTTTTTTGTTCTCGTATAGAACTTTTCATTAGTACTCATTAGTAACACTACCGAGGATCGAACTCAAAACCTTTAGATCTCTCAACGAGTGTTTAATCTTCACATCACTAATTTTAAAATTCAATGTTGGTCATGCCTAACTTTAGTGGACTTCCGATATTATTCGAGGACCGTCAGGCGCTTCCAGGTGGCGAGACTCTAAATTATGGACGACCCAATCAGAAGCGTTTGAGAGGTTTCAAGGTCACAGCGCCAACTTCAGTGCCTAATGCTAACGTACGACCGGTTCACAGGGAATTTTGTACAAAACGTGATAATTGAGCGGCTATAACAAATAAAAAGGCGAGTTTATAATTTTTGGACAAGTCAATCTGGTATAAGATAACAGATCTCGGATTTTAACGCGAAAGCCTTACATCCATTTGGCTAAATAAATTTCTGGCATTATAGCTGATGTTAGTTCGTGATGAAAATCCTATATATAATTCCTAACTAAAACAAATTATGACAATTATTGTGAACTGGATAGTAAAAGCACCAGTAATACTGGCTGCAGCCAGGTACTACAATATATATTGATGTTTGGAGAGCGTACAGACCCCTACATAGGCTTGGTTATGTGCATTATGTCGTTATCCACAAGTGGCATTTTGTGCACTTAACAACCGGAGTGCACACAAAGCTATGAGCTGGAAGCTGAAAGAGTTTTTGAGACTTTATCAAGGCTCCAGAGGCTGACTATTCTGTAGCCGTATGGATGATTTCCTCTACTGCATGCATTACGATTTTAGGACCTTTGAACCTCTTTCTAACCTTGACAAGTTTTTGAACCACTTGTACGAAGTTTATCCACTTCGTTTCCTTGGTTTTCTATAACATCTTTTTACTCTATACTGACTGTTTGCTGACTGGCTAATTTTTATCAAGGTCACTTAAGATTCGTTCAAAGGAAGTCCATAAATTATAGTCTCGCCGATAATCCTCTTCCTGTTCACGGTATTCTTTTCTCTTCTTTACTACTGAACTGGTTGTCACTTTAATCCTCTTGTATGAATATTTATATACTTCTGGGACCATCCAGCGCTGAAAGTGGATAGGAAACACATCGAGGAAAGCATCCAACTGTGTCACAGAGCAAGCCCCCACTTGGAATCCTCAAAACCAAATGAGAAGTGGAAGAACTAGAAAGGAAGGCTCATGACAGAGTGAGTTGAAGAATGCTGGTTGGCGGCTTATGCTAGATTAGGAGTAACAGGCGTAAGTAAGTAAGGGACCTTAAGGCAGACAATAGATCTATCTGTTATAATATTTCGTTAAATACATTGTGAAGAGATTTACTCAGTAGCCTTCTTTTTGAACTCAGTGTTATTCCACTGATTTTCTATTCAACGCTGTTGTTGAGTATATATAGTTTACTAAAATAAGAAAATTTTACGTCATAGACAGAATTCCAGAAGATTTCAAGTAATCATCTAAATCATGAGTCAGTTGAAGCTAGACCACCATGAAAAACCGGGAAGCACTGGACGGCCGTTTCATCCTAGTATGGGGCTCCTCAGCAGTGCGCATCCACGATCTGTGAAATTTATAAAATCTCCACAAAACTCCTTCTGATATTAATCTAAAGCATAATGACATAATTACTTTGTGATAAAAAAATACCTAATTAAGATCAACTCAAAGTGTTGATTACATAGAAAATGACATAAACATTTGAAGATCATCTTCATCTAAATTTGATAATCAATAGTTTATAATAGTCTTACTATAATACTTAATTTGCAAAATGTTCAATAATTGTCTCGGACTTCGTTGTTTTCTATTCGCGCTCTTCTTTTTCTGATGTTCTCCTATCTTCTGCTGCCAAACATTACATTCCTGACTCGTATCATATAACTACTTATATCAATATAAGTAGCATGCACTACAATCTTACTAGAAAAAGTATTTTCATTTTATTTTCATTTAGATAATATACAACAACAAGTATCATTGGAATGTCAAAAACAATTAAAAGATACTACTGAATTATCAAATCATACTTCAATGAAACAATCAACAATCATGTTAAAATCATCATCATTAACAATCAATAATACAAGCAAGTATTATCCAGTTGCTGAGAGTTTAGATTTAGCTACACGATTAACAATTTTAAAAAAATCCCCTAAATCATTTACAGCATGTCAATCATTAGCAAAACATACAATGATTGCAGCATTAAATTGTTCTGGTGCATTTGTACATTTAAAACCAACCACAATAATACAATATCCAATTCATCAATCATCCAATGATGATAATGATAATCATAACCATACCCAATTGAAATATTTAGATAATTATTTACAATGCAAAAATATAATGATTCGATCATCTCCATCAAGTCCAAATAAGTATTCAACAGAGATTTGTTCAGATATTAAAGTAAGTGTTATTTTTGCTGTTTGGTTCGTTTGTTGTTGATGTTGTTGTTGTTGTTGTTGTTGTTGTTGGTGGTGGTGGTGGTGGTGGTGTTGAATATTGATTTGGTAAATTGACGGAGAAGATTTGGAAGATGTAAAAAAGTTTACATATCTGGGCAGCATCATTGATCAACATGGTGGATCTGATAAAGATATGAAGGCGCCGAATAGCAAAGCAAGAACAACACACCTACAACTGAACAACATCTGGAATTCAAAACAACTATCTGTCAACCAACACCAAATTCAGAATTTTCAATATAAATGTCAAGACAGTTCTACAGTATGAGGTGGAAACTTGCAGAACTACGAAAGCCATCACCTAGAAGATAAAAGTGTTTATTAACAGTTATCTACGTAAAATACCTCGGATCCGTTGGCCAGACACTATTAGCAACAACCTACTATAAGAGAGAACAAATCAGATTCCAGTGGAGGAAGAAATCAGGAAGAAGTGCTGGAAGTGGATAGGAAACACATTGATGAAAACACTCAACTGCGTCACAAGACAAGCCCTCACATGGAATCCTCAAGGCCAAAGAAAAAGATGAAGAATGAAGAACACATTACGCTGAGAAATGGAGACAGATATGAGAATGAACAAAAATTGGATAGAACTAGAAAAGAAGGTCCAGGACAGAGTGGGTTGGAGAATGCTAGTTGGAGGCCTATGCTCCATTGGGAGTAACAGGCGTAAGTAAGTAAGTAGGTAAGTATGTAAGTAAGTAAGTAAGTAAGTAAGTAAGTAAGTAAGTAAGTAAGTAAGTAAGTAAGTAAGTAAGTAAGTAAGTAAGTAAGTAAGTAAGTAAGTAAGTAAGTAAGTAAGTAAGTAAGTAAGTAAGTAAGTAAGTAAGTAAGTAAGTAAGTAAGTAAGTAAGTAAGTAAGTAAGTAAGTAGGTAAGTAAGTAAGTAAATTTCACTTTAATCATTGAACTTGTTGGGGAGATTCAGAAAACTCCTCAAAAAGAAAAAAACTATGAAAGGATCTGAAAACATTGAAAAGCATCTTATCCGATCGTCATTTCATTTTATGATGGATGTAAAAAATGGTGGTGTGGATCTGTTGCCTGTAAAAAGACTTCTCGACCTTGAGTATGCGGATGATATTGTATTACTGTGTGATGATACTCAAGACATACAATCTGCACTTAATCAGTTGGCAGTCAGTGTCCGTTGGTACGGTATGTGCTTTGCACCTTCGAAGTGCAAACTACTTCTACAAGACTGGCAGGATCCTAATCCTGTACTCACCCGGATGGTGAGCAGATGGAAGTGGTCGAGAAGTTCGTGTATCTAGGTAGCTACATAAGTCCTGGTGGTGGCGTGAGTGATGAGATCAATGCACGTATAGTGAAAGCCAGAGCGGCTTATGCCAATCTGGGCTACCTATGGCGCCTTCGTGATGTCAGTCTGGCTGTAAAAGGTCGGGTCTACAACTCCTCGGTGAGAGCAATTCTGGTCTATGCTTGTGAAACCTGGCCTCTCCGAGTTGAAGATGTTAGACAACTCTCTGTGTTTTATCATCCTTGAACATTAGAGTATAAACATGTTGGATATAAGGTAGTTGTTACCCGCTGAAAACATTGAAGATAGTCGTGGAATATCTTGAAATGATTGAAGTTTGACAATATACACCAATGGATTTCCGGCTCTTTGGTTTAGAAGTTATGAATATTAAGTTCTATCTCTGGCTGAGTTGTGAATTTGCACTTCTGGGAACACCCATATTTAGATGAAAACTTTTTCTAGTGCTTTCTGATTTTCAATGGATGTTTAATTTTGATCAGTTCGTGTTATCATTCACTATTCTCCACAAATCTCTATGTTGAAATAAGTCTAATCTGTAGGTGATATTCACCATAGATTAACCATTTTATGAAGGGATTTTGATTTTTTTGATAGGAAAAAAATCTTTAGTTATTGATTTATTCTATTACTTTAAGTATAAATTGAATAGGCTTAGGCACTGAAACTACTGACAGAGAACCTTGCATTGCAAACTCTTTAATCGCACCGGAGAAGAAAAATTATTCTTATCATCCGCTGTGATCACCGTGTAAGTAATAGTGAGGTTGGAGGTAGGGTATTAGGGATTGATGATGAATCAGTTGATGAGGTTATAAATTTTCATCGACTGAGATGGTTGGTCCACGTGGTACGTATGCCTGAACATCAATTACCACTACGTGCAATGCTGACTACTGTTGGAGATGATTAGAAAAAAGTAAGGGGCGACCAAACCAATACATGGCATCAGTGTTTGAAGTCACTAACTTCTAGTCTAAGTCATGTTGGTAGATACAGACAACTTGGTTGGGATTCACGTGTCTATCGTAACCAATGATTAGAGACTATGTGACATGACTCAGAATCGATCACAATGGTGTAGCTGTATACACTCTCTGTCTTCCCTTAAACAAAGAGAATAAAATTGCTTCTTATCTTTGTTTCTGCGAACTAATTCTTTCTTCCTGTACTATATCCTTATTGCAATCTTTCTTTTATATATTACCACCTCTGAATTAACTACTTTTATGAATCCGGTGTTCATCTTGATGTGGTAATCAGATATGGCAACTTGGACTGATGCATATATGTGTCTGGTCCTACGTTGTAGCTGATTGTCTGAACACTTAAATTCCAACCATTTTTCTTACAATACACTTGATATTTGAAATAATTTATCCATTAAATAGTAAGATCAGCCAATTCACTGGTCAAGTATACTTAATATTACTGATGAATTCTTTCCATTGTTATTCTAACTTTTACTCATAATATAACATATTAATAGAATGCGAAACAATGTGTGAATATACATGGTACCTCTCAAGAAAGCGAGAACACTGATATAGATTCATTGAAAACTGTCAAACATAATTCTACGAAATCCACTGATGTTTTAGAAACTTCAACAAACATTAAACAGTCAATTCAAAGTTATAACAAACAGACTAGAGTAGTCAATTCGAATCAAACAACAAATGAATTGGTGGGTCTATATTTTGATTTGCGTATACATCACTATTTTAGTGTTTAATAATTTCATAGATTATGAGTACTATGAATGTTTTATCTTAATATAGAATGATGAACATTCAATTGAGAAAATGTGTACTTTAAGTAATGTCATTAACTATTGACATTATTAAGGTACTGGCTTGCCATGGTGACCAAGCTTGGATATCATGATGATCCAATCTAATTGTATTGTCTAGAACAATTAGTCTTTTTAAGTTTTATCATACGCGGTAGATCATTTCATGGCAGTAACACCAAGAGCAACAAACTTAAAGTCTGAGAGTAAAGTCGTACCGTTTACTGCACTGCTGTGTGATAACAGTACGGTATTATCTTCAGACACTCATTATCTGATTTCAAACAGAGGATGAAATAGGTTACAAAGGATAAATACTAACAATAATGCACATTAATATGACCTACGAATTTCCGATTGTGGCGGTATCGTTATGGAAAACGCACTTCAATTACAACACGCAGTATTCACAACCTGATGTGATCTCAGAAGTATTTCAAATGGAAAAATAGACTCGGTGTCTGAATTTGTTAATTTGTCATAGGTTAAAATACCACATAACGGTTTACATTATCTACTGGCTCTATAGATACTTTAACCTCGTTAAACGTTTTATAATGAGAAGATGAAGACAGAAATGGTGTTTTGCTGGACAACAATAAGATGATAATGACCATATACTCTGATTATTTTGACTTACCTTGTATAAAAAGTTACAAAAAGTATGGACCAATATAATTAATAAGGATCCTGAAACACTGTAATGTATCCTTTATAGAACTAATTTTCATCCTAGCAATACCATCGAAGTTCAAAACTGACTGAGTAATTACAAACATGACAAACGGCAAGCTCTATATTATGTGGTTGAAAATACCGCCTTTTCGTGACTACTGACGGAAAGCCATGTCTACAGACCTCAGAAATCTGGTTTCTTGGTTAGGATTTGACTCTATATCACTCATAGTTGGTTAGCGGTATTACTGTAGTGAATGATAGCATAGGTGAAGACAACGCAATATATTTACAGAGTTATTTCATAAAATTTAAAAACCATACTCTAATATTTCATTTGCAAAATGTTCATTAATTGTCTCAGACTTCATTATTTCTTCATTTCCATACCAATTACTTCTTGTTCCCGTTCTTTCCTCTTCGATCTTCTCAACTTTCTGTTGCCAGATATTCTATTCCTGATTAGTGTTATATACTACTTATGTTGATATAAGTAGCACGCACCACATTATTACTACGCTATTCCCTCAAGGACTGAGATTTTTACACTGATTAGTCATTAAATACTAACCACTGACATCCAATTCAGTCACGATTAAATGATAGGTTAGCGTTTTTTGGCGAGTTAGTTTTCTACGGGATGGGGTCGCTGACCCCATGCCCAACCCTCCTCCTTTATCCAGGCTTGGGACAGGCAGAAGCCCCCGGAGGAACTCTAGACAGAGTTCACTTCGCTTCTCGGCTCTCTGAGCTAAGATCATGTGTAGTATCTGTTCTTTGCAGTGTAATTTCTGTAACAGTCTCTAAACTGAGACCCATGAAATTACCCGTATTTTTCGCCTCCGGACAAGTGATGTGAGCTTGCTCAACCCCGTCCACAGGTCAGCCTCGTATTGCATTACCTCGAGGATTGACCCATTAGGTTCAGTGGTCTAGTAGGTTAAGCGTTCGCGTGCAAGACTGAAAGCCCTGGGTTCGAATCCCGCGGGCGGAATCGTGGATGAGCACTGCTGAAGAATCGTGTATTAAATAATAAACAAAATGATATTGGGTACTGTCATACAATAGATAATGGTAAATGGAGAAAAATGTTCTAAGTTTACATTGGCTACATCACTTCTCATTTTAAACCTTGTTGGTATTGAGACGAAAGGAGTGGATATTAAAACTGTTATAAAAATACCAAAGCATTTTTATATGAAAATAAAGGAAGACAAATGAAATATAGGACAAAGAGTGGAATGATAATAATCATAAACAAAATAAAATGTTTTCATATTACCCTGGTAACAAAAATAGATTATTTATTTCTAGGCCAAATTCAAATGCACTTAGAAACCTGTTATTTAAATAAATATATACCTATATATATAAAACATGACCTTGGGAAACGGGAAGTTTAGAAAGCTAAAAGTAATGACAACCAATCAGAAAACAAGAAAGAACATAGGTAAGTATGAATTAGAAGAAAAAACATTACTGAAATGACCATTTATTGACAAAAAGATATAGACAAATTCACATATCAGAAGGAGTGTTGTGGAGATTTTAGGAATTTCACTGATTAAAATCGTGAGTCAATCGAAGCTAGACCACCATGGGAAATCTGGAAGCACTGGACGGCCGTTTCATCCTATTATGGGACTCTATATCTAGTTCGAGCCAATATTTGTTCGTTCCTCCCATATCTGTCTCCATTTCTCGGCGTGATGTGTTCTTCATTCTTCCTCTTTTCCTTTGGCCTTGAGAATTTCAAGTGAGGGCTTGTCTTTTGAAACAGTTGGGTGCTTTCATCAATGTGTTTCCTATCCACTTCCAGCACTTCTTCCTGATTTCTTCCTCCTCTCGAATCTAGTTTGTTCTCTCTCATAGTAGGTTGTTACTGATAGTCTTTGGCCAACGGATTTGAATAATTTTACGTAGACAACTGTTAATAAACACTTGTATCTTCTAGGTGATGGCTTTCGTAGTTCTGCAAGTTTCCACCTCATACTGTAGAACTGTCGTGACATTTATATTGAAAATTCTGAATTTGGTGTTGGTTGACAGATAGTTGTTTTGAATTCCAGATGTTGTTCAGTTGTAGGTGTGTTGTTCTTGCTTTGCTAATCGGCGCCTTCATATCTTTATCAGATCCACCATGTTGATCAATGATGCTGCCCAGATATGTAAACGTTTTTACATCTTCCGAATCTTCTCCATCAAGTGTGATTCGATTGGTGCATACTATGCTGTATCGGAGAATCTTGCTTTTACCTTTATGTATGTTGAGCCTGCTGCTACACTCGTCTCTTTCTCCTGTATTTGTTATTACGTGTGCGACCGAAGAGTTTAGATCGTTCAGCTACATCCTAGCTGCTTACTGTATCCCATACTTATTCTCAGATGTTGACATCTTCATGATTCAGTCGATCACCAGGAGAAATAGGAAAGGGTGAGAGTAAACAACCTTGCTTGACACTGGTCTTTACTTCGAATGAGTCTGTAAGAACACATGAGTTCACTATGAATTCTGAATCAGAATTAATTTTCATCCTGTTTAAATGTCAAGACTATTGAAATTAAATCAAGTAACTTATATATTTGTGTGTAAATATCTTTTTTGTTTGTTTGTTTTTCAGCGTCAAACTATTCGAAAAGTCAGTGGAAAAGAAATGGACCATTTAGATGAAAATAAACCATCCTTGGAAACAATCAATTCATTATCATCAAATAACATTCAACGAATTTCAGATATAATGTTGAAAGATAGAAAAGATTCACTTATTCCTCAACAATTAGGAATTGTTGACTGTGCCAGAGGATCTGTAGTATCATGTAAGTTTATTCTTCACATTGTAATACTTATACTGTCTAAAATAAACTGGATTATATAGAAAAGTGCATGTTTCGTCCTATTTAGGACTCGTCAATTGAATGTACCTAAATTCTAGTGTTTATGTTCACATATGAACTCATACTTACTTACTTACTTACTTACGCCTGTTACTCCTAATGGAGCATAGGCAGCCGACAAGCATTCTCCAACCCACTCTGTCCTGGGCCTTCTTTTCTAGTTCCATCCAATTCTTGTTCATTTTTCTCATGTCTATTTCCATTTCTCGGCGTAATGTGTTCTTTGGTCTTCCTCTCCTCCTTTGGCCTTAAGGATCCCATGTGAGGGCTTGTCTTGTGACGCAGTTGAGTGCTTTCATCAATGTGTGTTCTATCCACTTCCAGCACTTCTTCCTGATTTCTTCCTCCGCTGGAAGCTGGTTTGTTTTTTCCCACAGTTGGTTGTTACTATAGTGTCCGGCCAACGGATCCAAATTGTTTTGCGTAGACAACTGCTAATAAACACCTGTATTTTCTGGATGATGACTTTCGTAGTTCTCCAGGTTTCTGCCCCATACAGTAGAACTGTCTTGAAATTTGTATTGAAAATCCTGACCTTGGTGTTGGTTGACAGACAGTTGTTTTGAATTCCAGATGTTCTTCAATTGTAAATATGCTGCTCTTGCTTTTCCGATCCGCGCTTTCACATATGCATCAGACCCACCATGTTCATCAAAGGTGCTGCCCAAATATGTAAACGTTTTTACATCTTCCAAATCTTCTCCGTCAATTGTGACTGGATTGGTGCATGCTGTATTGTATCGGAGAATCTTGCTTTTCCCTTTGCGTATATTGAGACCTACTGCTGCTGAGGCTGCTGCCACACTGTTCGTCTTCTCCTGCATTTGTTGTTGCGTTTGAGATAGAAGGGTCAGATCATCTGCGAAGTCCAGATCATCCAACTGCATTCTAGATTTCCATTGTATGAACTCATACTCATTACTATCAAATTTAAATACTAAAAGATTAAGCATCAAGTTTAGATAATCACAATTCTTGTTCAAAAGTTATGATATTCATATCATTAGGAGTAAGTATTTGAATGCTTTCGTTTTATCGCTAATCAGGATTGAATCTCTACCAGTTTTCGGTGAATAAACATGATTTATTTTATTGATCTTCATCCAGCAATGAAGATGATAAAATATTTTATATCAAGAATCGATTAAAAATGAGAAAAAAAAGTGAGTCAATAGAATATGGAGATTCGTTCCTGTAGATGATGTTGAGGGTAAGGATCATTAGATTGACTCACTGTTATATCTAGAGGTAATATTCTTGATATGACGCGTACAACATGTTAGGTTCGTTAAAGCTGAATGCTACTACTGATTCGGCTTATTCGGAACGGAACGAAGGATCAAGGATTCAGAGACTCGATAGGCTATTCTGATCCGTTGTCCCCAACTCAGCTAACTCGATCAAGAAGTCTTGGTAAGACGTAGAAATGTATTCTACAGACAACCAGCAGATATCAGGTTAGGTCAGGTCAGGTCAATCAGGCACACAAATCAAGCGTATTTATACAAATATTTATAATCGATATTGTCATGGTAAAATTTTTTAAACATTAATCAATAATTTCATCAATCGACAGCCATTCAAATATTCAATCGATAAGTTCGTCAATTGACTTCTATTTAATCATTTAATCGATAAATTAATCGATATGATAAAATTACAAAATATGAGTTTTGGGGATCTATCGTCCCCAATACAATTTAAGCACTTGAATGCTAGAACCCTCCCTAGTCGCAAATGAGAAGACGAAAGACAAGTGAAAGGAATGTTATTCCAAAACAGTGTCAATTATGGTGCAAAACTTCCAAGTATTTATAAATTTTAGTAAAAACGAAATCATCATTGTTGTTATCCAGCTCACACACAGGGGGTTATTAGCATTGTCCAATAGGGAAGCTACATGTAGTGATTCTGGGATATTCTTCCGAAAGATGATTGGATGGAATATCTCTGGCTCTTTCTCAGCCTCTTAGAGCTTCCTCTAAGTTACCTATGGACCGGCCTCACATTTACTTAAATTGTTATATGGAAATGTATATTAAAAACTTCGATTCAGTACTAACCGACTGTTTGATAAACGATATGAAATAATGTCTTCTAATCTTTTTTCTAGAGTATTCAAGCATATAAAACATGTGTTAGATTATTATAACACTTGTTTAAGGCGTTCTACCGAAAAAAACTGTGATTAGTTGAGCTCATCCATGTTGGAAGTGAAGCAGTCATTCATCAGTAGTATTTTTTAAAAATGGTTGCTCCATATCCTTCGTTGAGTGAAGTGAAATTCTAAACTAATGTATCCCGGTTTATTGGTTTAAAGGTCAAATATTACCACGAGACCAGAGTGTCCTGGGTTCGGTTCGTGGTGGAGTAGTGAATGTGTATTGCTGAAGAGCTTCAAACTAGGACGAAAACAGCCATACTGTAACCCAATATTTTCAACAATCATCTGACATAGATCAATGTATGATGTAAATTATAACTAATAGAAATAATCAACTAACTACTGTCGGGTCTGTTGCAATTCATCAAAGAGGTATATATCATAGGAAGCCTAAATCACCTCAACTCATAAGAGAATCCAACACTCAAATAATTCAATGAATTAAAGTGGCTTAAAGCAATTATCTGATAACCGAACATCACTTAAATTTCAATATTCAGATAGTTATTAGCGTAATGATGGTGGATTGATTGTTAGTAATAAAGTTATTTTGCAGTGTTTAAATAATTTAACAGTGCGATGGTGGTTGGAGGTAGTCGACAGGAAACCGTGAACCCAGGTTTCGTGCTATTTGGCACTCGTCAGCAAGGTGTACCTGTAATCTTGAGGGAACTGGTACTCCCTGGCAGACTCGATCTCGTGTCACCCAGCTGCACTAGTAAGGACGAGACACGCATGAGATTGATCGGCACCCAGTGATCAATCAATTGTAATTTAACAGTTATCTTCTTATTCCCATCTTAAAACTCATTAATATCATTAAAACAACAAAAATAAATATCTTTTCACAGGGTCCGGAGTTTCAAATGTATCAAAACCTAAACGTCCATCAGTGTTCTCATGCCCTGAAGCAGAAATTGAATCACCTAGATCAAGTGTTATAAATCCATCTCTTAATGAATTAGCTTCTAATAAACGAACTCGACCAGGAGCAGTGGTCACTTCATCTAGAAGATCAAAACGACGGTAAGTACCAGTTATTTGTCTATAAATGTTATTTCGAAGTATTTATTTGAATAGTAGACTTTCTTGAAAGATCACAACTTACTTAGTTCTTTTTTTAAAAAATTTTCATTGTTAAATGGTAGTTCTGATGTTCAAGTGTTTCCAATTTATATAACTTTCTTGACCTTTTTTATCTTCTGATTGGTTGTTTTCATTATTCAAAGGTCAAGATTATCGTCATGTATATACACAGAGATATTCTATCACCATTCCTGAAATTCTTTACTTCTCGCTTCAATCCCATGAGAGACTATTGCTGGAGCGTTATGTATTATTCTTCCAATTTATCTAGTTAGACTAGAAGAATCTCATAATTGTTTGTAATTTATAGTTGAATAAATTCGTAGAGAATTAATTTGCTGTTAAAATGTAGTTATCACTGTTGAGGTGATCCAGAAAACTTCTCGTAAAAGACAAGAAAGGATCAGGAACACACTAAGAAGCATTTTATCCAATCAGCGTTCAGTTGAAGTTTAGCCAGAAACATCAAGAAAGTGAAAAGTAACATGTCGAGTTTCTGATTGGCTGATTACTATGCTGATACTATGTTTAGTAGTATTCCAGAATTTTCGGGAAACCCAAGGACATCTAAAATACTATAAAAACCCTATATTTTCTGTACTACGATGAGCCTTTGGAGTAAAATGCTTCTCGTGTATTTTGCGCCTTTTCTCTCCTGTTTAGGCCGCTGTATGGTTCTAGCTTGTGGGTTACGAGAATAGCTTAGGAACCGAATATAGCGTTCAATTAGCAAGACATACCAATCACCATGACCTAGTGTGAAGTATAGACTTATTGAAAACTGTTTAACGTTTCATTGGTTTTAATAGTTAGTCCATGATTAGAACTCTCTTCAAAACTAAATAACTTCAGAAGATCTCTTGTCTAATCATGAATCATATGACTAGCTTTTCAAAGATCTAAGTAATAGCTATAATTAATGGAGTTCAACTTCGTTGATCATTTGATGCCTACAGTAATTGCTTATCATGAGACTCCTAGTGTGTCTATTCTAAAGAACACAGTTCGGATCCAGAACACGTGACTGGCCTGACTAGAAGGTGAGTATGGTATCATGCTAACAACCGATAACATTCACAATAATAATAAGGGTAGAAAAATATATAACTCATCTAATACCTATCAGACTATTTACTAATTTGATTTGGCGAACAATAATCATTATTTTCTTCGCTCATCCATCAGTTTTCATGAGTTCGATACCTGAAATCTTTGTTCTCTATACCGAATGCACCGATTTCTACTTGTTTGATGGAGCTTCAATTTGATGATAATAACATGTGGACCTTTGGATTTAAATATGTTTTTATTTACTACTGTTATTTTAAGATCTGTCATTTCTTTCCCTTGAATCTTCTATTGTTCAATCAACCAAAAATCTCTTTGTATGGAGATTTTTACATTCTTTGAAGATAGTTCTCGTGGTGAAAGAACACCTTAACGACCAACTCATAAATGACCTTTTGTTATGCTCCGATGAGAATAAGGAATTCTAACTGTTGAGATCTATTCCTGGACTATTACTATACGTATATTTTCATCGTATAATTGTTAAGTAACTAAACTATTCATATTCATGTTTCGAGGTCACTTTGGGGCCACTCAAAGGCCTCACCATTTTTTCTATATTAAAATTACTTAGTCAATATTGGATACTTGATAGCATAGTATTATAAGTTTGGTTGTTTTTTCTTCTTATAGATCGAGTAACACAGCAGCTGCTCAAGCATTTGCAGTCGCAACAGCAGGCAGTGCTAATCCTCTAGCTGCAGTCGGAATTATGGGTTTAGGACCAAATCTTTTTCGTTCTAGTGGTTATCGTTTCACTGCTGGTACAGCGACTTCTGCAGCTTCACAAACTGGTCTAAGATCAGGCCTAATTCCTCATTCCAATCCTTCTATTGGTAACATTACTAATAGTCCAATTATCAATAGTGGTAGTAGTAGTAATAATAGTAGTAATGTTATGTCTACAGTTTTAATCAATCGTTCACAAATTCAAAATACTCCTAACTATACTTATCCACTATCTCCTGGTATTTCTAATAAAGTAATGTCACCAACAACCATGGGAACAAGTGGAACAGTAGTAACAACAACAATAATGACTTCATCAATGGTATCAACAACACCGACAGCAAATACTACATTTCGTTTAAATTTAAATAAGAGTGGACTGAATCTAATTACAACATCAACACCAGGAACAATAACAAATACTAATTCAATATCAAATAACAATACATTCAATTTTCATCCGTATAATTTAACCAGTCCAACATTAATACAATCATCATGTCTTGGTGTTGGATCCAGTACAGGACATTGTACAAATCAAGCAAAAAGAAATACAATGTTAGCGACAGCATCATGTTTACGTGTATTGAATGTTGTAAGACATTGGATAACTAAATTTCCAGATGTGAGTTAACATTGACTATTATTATTATTATTAACATTATTATTATTATCAATAATATAGTCAGTCACTGATGAAGATTACCATCATAGGATGTGAGAAGAGTGTACATTGGTTCAATTAGTCAAAACTCATACTATCAAACTGAGGGAGCTGAAAATGAGAAATCCAATGACTGAGATGGTTCGGCCATGTGTTACATATGCCTGAACACCGATTATCACGACCCACAATGCTGACTAATGTTGGGCATGATTAGAAGAAAGTTAGCGGCAGCCAAACCAATACGTGGCAACAGTGCTTGAAGTCACTAACGTCTAGTCTGAGTCATGTTGGTAGTGCAGACTACTTGGTTGGGGTACGCGTGACTATCGTAAACAATGGTTGGATGCTCTATGTAACATGACTCAGAATCGATCACAATACCTTAGGTGTATACACTCTTCGTCTTCCCTTAAACTGTGAGATTAAAATTGCTTCTTATCTTTGTTTCTACGTACTAATTCTTTCTTCCTGTACTATATCCTTATATCCAATCTTTCTTTCATATATTACTACTACTGAATTAACTACTTTTATGAATCCGGTGTTCATGTTGTTTTGCTAATGAGGTATGGCAACTTGGTCTGATGCATATATGTGTCTGGTCCTACGTTGAAGCTGACTGACTAACTGGAAAGAGTTTAAAAGAAATGAATGAGATCAAAGAAATGATATCTAAATAACGATTTAATGGTAAATGGAGTATGAATGCCACTATAGATGAGCACTTCTGAGGTATCCTATAATATAATGAATGGTTTAAAATATTTTTCTTTCTCTCTAGTATATTACAACAATACCTTATTACGATAATGAAACTAGTCACGTTATATCAGATTTAGGATTCACGACCCAGAAGAGAAAACTACAATCTAGACTAGAGAATAGTTTATTCAATATTAGTTAGAAACTGTCACTATCAATGAGCCTAGAATAGAAATCAATGGTAGGAAAAGAAATCATGGTGAGACTATAACTTGTGAACGAACCGATCACGTATAAGATAACAGGTCTCGGATTTTGGCTCGAAATTCACTCGTCCATTTGATTAAATAGAGTTTTGGCATTATAACTGATGTCACTTCGTGATGAAAACCATAAATCTAATACCTAACCTTAACCATCAACAGTAAATCATAATTCTAACTCCTTACGCTGGTTTATGACCCTCATTTAGTCCTTGTTATTTAGTGGACACTCTCAAGTTCAGTCTAGCGTCGCTCTAAGGTCGTCCACAAATTATAGTCTCACCGAATGTTCTTTGTAATTAGAATTTTGAAGTTTTATTCATTTAACTGTGATTTTTATTTTCAAGATTAAAAATAAATGTGATCTCATTTCATTTCGTGATCATGTTTTGTTTCATGTAGGATTTTGAAAGTGATCCGGTTTTAAAACGAGAAATGCAAACTCTGTTAGATACTTTAGTCACTTGTCCTCATTTAATGCCTAATGATCAAAAAGTAGTTAATCAATTATTACTTCAAATGATTTCTGATCAATTAGTACAAGATAGAATTGATCTTGATAGTATATTAACTCCAAGACAAGTAAGTCAATAATGTTTTTTTATTTGTAATCAATCATGTCTCGGATATTTTAGCAAATAAAATTTACCTACTTATAAGTAGTTTGAAATTAGTAAATAAAACAGAACGTTTTACCACATTATGAAATTGAAATTGGTATACATTAAGTTTATTGAGCAAAAAAATAGGATATTCCTATTCTTATCGATACCAATTTCGGTACTGTACCAAAGGATAACTAACTCTGTACATAAATCAATGACGTTTAAAGGAGGGATCTTCTTCATTGAGTTTATCGTCTACATAATCTCTTTGATCAACAGAACATTGTCTTTTAGAATATTTACTTTTAATAGACACTAACTTACAAGTATAGATTTGTTTTTAAACAAAATATCTTGCTTTTAAAATTTTCAATAGTTGAGATCATGAGTCAGTTGAAGCTAAACCACCATGGAAAACCTGGAAGCAGTTGACGACTCAGTGATCTAGAGGTTAAGCGTGGGATCATGAATGAGTACTGCTGAAGAGTTCAACAATAGACGAAACGGCTATCCAGTGCTTTCACGTTTCCCATGGTGATCTAGCCTCAATTGACTCATGATCTCAACTATTGAACCCATTACAATCTCCACAAAATCCCTTTCTGATTTTAAAATTTTCTTCGCTTTCATATAGAAAGATTGAAATTAATAGATTTAATGAGAGGTTATCAGTAGTATATTACTGGTGTTTTTTTGGCTTTAAATTTCTGTATAATATTAGATCCCATCAGAGAAAAATTTTGATCAACTATCGGCATTGGATATTTCAGAACAATTAACTTTTCTAGATTTTCAAATATTTCGGTCAATACGTAGCGAGTAAGTTCATTTCAAATCGATTCTATAAACTTCCATTCTTACTTTATTTCTTTAATCTGGATAGAATTTTTTCGACATGGTTGTTTTCCATGGGATGGAGTCACTAACCCCCCATGCATAACCCTCCTCCTTTATCCGGGCTTGGGACCAGCAAAAGCTCAAGAGGGGCTTCAGGCAGAGTTTCAATAAAGTATAAGCATAAATTATTTACAGTAATGTCATCATTCATATATCCATGTTGAAATCAATATAAACATACATAATCTGTAAGTATATTTATTCGTTACTGGGTAATATAGATTCTCATAGTCATTTATAAGCAATAAAATAATCAAGCATACATTTTTCATCATTCCAAGACACCACACCTGTTATAACTTCTGGACTGTGTGTACCGTCAGTGTGTAACATAATGATACCGCCAATTAGAGAGCACCGAATTATCGATTGCATAAGACCTGTACGAGCAGTCTAGAGTCCTCATAGATCCTTTTTCCTGCCTAGCCTTGCCTGTTCGAATCCAGAACACTAATCTCAGCCCCTGTAATATGAACCATTTATTTCAAGCATACTGGGTCTATATACCAACCAGACAGTTCACATCGTACCATAAAATAGGAACCGACACTTGTACAAGATTTAGCAAAATGTGGCTGTGAATGTGGGAGACTGTAGTTGATAGACAGGTCATAACTCAAGAATGGTAAATCGTATAATAATAGTTCATAGGTTAAAATAAAGCTTATGATAAGAGAAACACGAATATGAATAGTTTAGTTACTTAACAATTATATGGTGGAAATATACGCATAGCATTGGTTCATACATAGATCCCAGTAGTTACCATTCATTATGTTTATCGGAACATAACAACACCACACACCAGCGTACTGTAAGATGAGATCGACAAGACAAATGCTAAAGTATTAGTAGAATTAATGACAGTATTAGTGATCATATAAAAAGGTTTTAAAATCGAGAATATGTGTCAAGACAAGTGAATGAGTTCATAGTATTAAATATTATTCAATCACTGAATTAAGTGGTAAACAGATAAATAAATTCATCTATGATTACAATTAATTAATCACTAGGGGGTGATCAGTGTCATATGTGTCAGGTCCTTCTTAGTGCAGATCAAATCCTATCAACCAAGTTACAATGTGACCACTAATTTAGGTGACTTGACATTGCATGCACTATGTTAAGATAAGATCGTGGTTGGAGGTAGTCAACAGGAAACCCTGGACTTACAGAAGGTGAGAACGTCTCCGATTGTGAAACTGGGTGACATGGGAGTGAATCTGTCAGGGAGCGTCAGTTTCCTGAAGAACACAGGCACACCTTGCTCACAAGTACCAAGTAGCACGAAACGTAATTCCAGGATTTCCTGTTCACTACCTGCAACCACCACCTTATCTAATCTGTGCTGTGTATATTGATTCCTGGTGATGTCACCAGGCATCTCCAACCAATGATTACAAATATTGTAGGTATACATATAAATGCCATTTCGTTTGGTCTTTTAAAGAAGACCGAATTTCATTGATTAAGTTGTAGTGAACTCATTGATCTAAATGAATCAACACTGTATTCGTTATTTTTAATGTTATATGGTCTAAGATAGTTGATAGGAAATTCTAGACCTAGAGTTTGTGTTGTTCAAGACTCATCAACAAGGTTGAGACAGATACGGAATTGATTACTATTGAGAGATCATTTAATGGTAACTATCTTTTACAATCCAGTTTGAATACGTTTTTGCATTGATTGTTTGAGTGTTCTCATTGACATTTTGGAATGACATTGATCAGGCTCTTTTTGGTACATGCACATCCTGTGCATATTACCTCAATATTGCCACTAAGTCACAAGCATTATAAGCAGAGATAGATGGTGGTTAGCAGCAGAGACTAATCAGTTGAAGTAACTAAGTGGATAACGTGATGGCGTTTGAAGCAAACGACACTGGATTCGAGTCTCCAAATGAATATCCACTCTTGGATGCAAGCACATACAGCTGACAAGTCCTAAAGGGGACGAAATGTACATTCTGAATTCCACTACTAACCATCATCTATCTCTGATTAAAATCCAGTTTTGTATAAGTTTATTTGCTGTGATTTTACATGAAGTTGAGAAATGTCTTTCATCTTATGAAAATGTATTTTCTGTAAAACAGGGAATTACTTAATCAATCTTGGATGAAATTAGACAAAGAAGAGAAAGCTAAACATGTTCTGCTTGTTTGTAAACGATTCAATGAGGTAAATGCTACTACTGATTATTGATTGTTTAATCTTCTCTAATGCTTTTTATTCACATAAAATTAAGTTATTCAGATTGTTAGGCAAAGTCACCACATATGTGGGGCCCTTGAATTTTGTCGTCATTTAGATCGAACGATGTTGTCGAAAGGGCTCTTCACTTTAGTGGCCCGCGGGTCTGACTCCAATTACATCGTATAAATGTTTGTTATCGCCTATCCTCGTATATAATCATCGACTGAAATCGCGTTAGTCAATAACAGAATTAAATAAGTGAAATAACGAGAATGGACTTTTGAATACACATATTTTGGATATGAAGCGAATGGAACAGAAAGAAGAGAAACGACGCGGAGTGGAGATGGCGGGTAAGCCGACTCCCATTTAACCAAGCCTTAATCAATATTTATGGTTACACAAAAGTAAGTTACAGACATGTGATGAGTAAATGGGATAAGAAACGTACACACACCTACGCGCTCATATAAAAACAGTCAAGATTGATAAACGAATAAATAACAAGGTCAGAATGTGACTCAAGTAGAATGAATAGAATGGGCTGTCCGAAAGCGAGAATAAGATATATGGGCTTAACATAATAACGGACACTACACTTACATTATGCTTCCTCATTGTTATTACACTTTGAATGTGTATGATGTGTATTCACACAACTAGGATAGTCATATGATAAGCGTTAAGAGCTTTACTCATTCAACAGCTAATACTACTGAATGAATACTTATATCATAGAACATCTCTCACTAACAGAATCATGAAGAAAAACCATCAAACTATAACCACGACACACTACTCAATATATCATTTCTTACTTTGTATCATCTAGCCTAGCTTAGTTGATACATCATTCATTAATACAACCAGCTTGGATTAACATTTCGCCTAGTATTAGTCTCTAGCTCTCTATCTAAGATTTAACTACATTCATTTTAAGCCAATGAAAAGTCATTCCACTACAAGATAAATATGATATACACTTTTATCATTAGGTAAATCTTCCACCATCATATTTACTCAATGAGTGACTTGAAGAAGACAACTTCGACTGGGTAAATATGAAATTCTTTATGTATATTAAATGTAAGAGATCAATTTCACAGTATTTCCTTAAATATATTGAGGAGCCTTACTAGAAGAATTAGATAGAGTCTGTCCATTTAGTGACCTTACTAACTTACCAGGAAAAGCACACTCCATCGGTTACATGATAAAACTTGATTGCACCTTGAGTAGGTCATACGGTGAGACTATAATTTATGGACGACCTTTGAGCCACTCTAGTCTGACCTTGATGATGTTCACTTAACGACCAGAATCAAATGAGGATTCTAAACCTGTGTGACGAATTAAAATTATAATTTACAGTTGATGATTAAGGTTAGGAATTAGATTTCAAGTTTTTATCATGAACTGATATCAGCTATAATGCCAAAACTCTATTTAATCAAATGGATGAGTGAGTTTCGAGCCAAAATCCGAGACCTGTTACCTTATACATGATTGGTTTGTCCATAAATTATAATCTCACCGGTCATATTTTTCTTCAGATAATCACTTGAATTGCATTGGCAATCAGAAAAACTGGCATGGAAAATCAAGTTCTTTGATCATTCATTTCCTTACTATTTCTTGTATTGTTCAGAAGATTCAGCATATATTAGTTAAAATGCCGAAAGTGGGGAGAGTCCGCTCTCCCTCTAGAAATGCTCTCACATGGCCACGCGTATATAGCCTCTGCCAGCGAAGTCCTACTCACTGCATTCTTGCACCACGGGTGTTGTTTACGAAGTTGAGAGGACGAAAAGCAAATGTTCGGCGCTTTAACCGGGTCGGTGGACATGGAGAGTCCAACTAGGGGAGTTGGAAAACCCTGATTCCAAAGCAATGGTGTACATGTGCTCCAGTATCCTAAAGGAACAAACGACGTATGAACTAATCGTTGGTCACTGGCTTCCATGGGACTGCATCTCCTTACATTGCTCCACTGCCTTGTGGATCAGACTTTCAGGTCAAAGGCTCGGGGTGTGGCCCCCTAAGAAAACCACCTGCTTCGGTTTGAGCACCCGGGCAGTATCACAGCCCTCACACATATCAAATGAGATTTGTGTGACGCATATGTATTTGGTGCCTCCTTGTACCAATATCTATGTGTTAAAATAAATAAATAAGTTAAAATGTAACTTAAACCTTTTGGTATTATTCACATGTTCTTTTTTTGCTCTCTCACTTATTGATTCAGGTTAGTCGCCTAGTTGTTTCTGAGATTATATCACGAACAGATTTAAATGATCGAGTTATGTGTATTGATAAATGGGTTGCTATCGCTGACATTTGCCGGTGTATGCAAAATTATAATGGTGTATTACAAATATGTTCAGCATTAGTCAATAGTTCTGTATATCGACTTAAACGTACCTGGGAACGTGTTAGTAAACAAACAAAACAATCAATTGATCGTTTACAAATGCTTGTTGCATCCGATGGACGGTTTAAATCAATGCGTGAAGCTTTACATAGGTATGTTAGATTGGGAAATATTTTGTTTGGTTTTTTCATCAGTACAAGCTGATGTTGATCAGTTCTGAATATGATATGTGTAAAGCATTGATATAGATAATATTGATGAAGGTCAGTAATAAGCTGAAATCACCATGTTATCTTATAGTTGTTGACATTTCTTCGAAAGTTATGTCTACAATCAACTATTCAATGAACCAAACTTGAATGATAAAATGTGACATTTAGTCATTTATCTCAGTAGCTCATTTTATATCATTTAACTGATTATTTTATTTTTTGAGAATGTGACATTGTTAAAAATTTACGTCAGCTAAATTATTTCTAAACGAGACTATAATTTATGGACGAGTCAATCGGAAGCGTTTGAGTGAATTCAGGGTCAGAGAACTTGAAAACTTATTTTCTCTACTCATTTACATACTTACTTACTTACTCCTGTTACTCCCAGTGGAGCATAGGCCGCCTACCAGCATTCTCCGACCCACACTGTCCTAGGCCTTTCTTTCTAGTTCGACCCAATTTTTGTTTATTCTTCTCATATCTGCCTCCATTTCTCAGCGTAATGTGTTCTTCGGTCTTCCTCTTTTCCTTTGGCCTTGAGGATACCATGTGAGGGCTTGTCTTGTGACGCAGTTGGGTGTTTTCATCAATGTGTGTTCTATCCACTTCCAGTGCTTCTTTCTGATTTCTTCCTCCACTGGGATCTGGTTTGTTCTTTCCCACAGTTGGTTATTGCTAATAGTGTCTTGCCAACAGATCCGATGTATTTTGCGTAGACAACTGTTAATAAACACCTGTATTTTCTGGATGATGACTTTCGTAGTTCTCCAGGTATCTGGCCCATACAGTAGAACTGTCTTGAAATTTGTATTGAAAATCCTGACCCTGATGTTGGTTGACAGACAGTTGTTTTGAATCCCAGATGTTCTTCAGTTGTAAGTGTGTTGCTCTTGCTTTGCTGATCCGCGCCTTCATATCTGTGTCAGATCCACCATGTTGATTAATGATGCTGCCTAAATATGTAAACGTTTTTACATCTTCCAAATCTTCTCCATCAAGTGTGATTGGATTGGTTCATGCTGTGTTGTATCGGATATTATAAATATATTATTTATTATTTTAAAAGTAGTATCATATTATGATCATAAAGATGGATTACTAATTAATCTTTGAAACCTACTTTTAATTCAATAGTGTGAATAATACACATTCATATTGCCATGTATCATTGGTCGCCTCAAACTGTCAAAGATGTTTCCGCCATATCATATTGAATATTGAATATCTGGACTGATCTTGTAGATAGTCTTCCTGGAAGTTTTAAACCAACCATTTTCCTAACATTTATTGCACATGAATTCCATAATCATAACATAGAACAATTAATGAATGGACAAATTTTAACTATCAGCTATCATAGGAATTCGTTTACTGATATCATTGGTTATATTCATAGGTTAATGTAGTTTCCTATACAGTCTATTTATTATTTCTACTTCCATCATTCAAGACTTAGAACGATAAACTAGTTATCTGAATTAATCTTCAGATCCTACCAGTACTTACGATTGATGTAATTGGCTCTAGCAAACTATTCCCGTAATTTAATATAAAAGGGTATTATATAGATTGTTACATTTAACGTTTTACATTACAGACTGGCTTCTCGTTAATCAGCCATTGAAAATGGAAAAATGACTGGATGATCGTCATGCAACATCCTGAATTAATTAAACTTGGAAAGACAAACCATTAGATTCTAATCTGAAGATCGAGCACTACTTGAAAGATATGAATGTCTTAGGTTCGAATCCTGATGGGTTTAAGGCTTAGGATTGCTGTAGAATCTCATTCTAGAACGAAACAACTGTCTAATTCTTACTGAATTTTGATTTTTGCTTAACTAATATTACTAGTCAATGATGTGAAACTTCATATATACTTGTTTTCATGTTCACTTATTTTTAGATGTGATCCTCCTTGTATTCCTTACCTTGGAATGTATTTAACGGATTTATCATTTATTGAAGAAGGTGCATTGAATATTACAGAGAATAATTTGGTCAATTTTTGTAAAATGCGTATGGTATGTAATGAAACAATGATTTTTTTCTAAAACAACATTGTTTAATCTTATTATCTGTAATAAATAGTTGAATTCATGAGTCTCTTCAACAGTGCGCATCCACAAACCGTCACGCGTAACTCGAACCTAGGACCTTCGGTCTGTCATGCGACCTCATAACGTTCAGACCACTGAGCCGAGTCCCGCGTGTGGGATCGTGGATGTGCACAGTTGAGGAGTCTCATACTGGGACGAGACGGCTGTTCATTTCTCCCATGTTTTCAATGATGGTCTAGCTTACATCGTATCATGAATTGAACTATGAAAACTATTGTAATCTTTACAAATCCCCATTCTGAGAAAGTGAATAACACTAGAAAAGAATTCTAATAAAGTTGCAATATACCCATATCATGTATTTTCTTAAATTATTTTAAATACCGACTAAGAGTAGTCACCATGCAATGTCCTAATCACTGGACCACTGGACCGAGCTGAAACGTGGAGAACTACTACAACCATAATCAAGAAGGTACAAATATTTATAAATAGTTGTCTACGCAAGATACTCAACATCCATTGGTCGAATAGCATCAGCAACAGTCTTCTGTGTGAGAGGCCAAACCAGCTTGCAGCTACATCACAAGGTAAGCCCTAACTTGGAATCGTGAAGGAAAGCGGGAAACCGGAAGGCCAAAAACACATTACGTCGGGAAATAGAAACAGACATGAAAAGGATGAATAACAACTGGAAAGAGTTGGAAAGAACTCTCCAGGACAGGGTTAGATGGAAAGTGTTGGTGGGCGGCCAATGCTCCTCGATGAAGAGTAATAGGCTTAAGTAAGAGTAGTCAATAAACTTCTACAGATCAGTCATTAAACTCATTGTTAATTAGTATTAAGATGTATTATGCTTAATGTTAGACGTTTAGAAATAATACCAAACGAAGAAGGTTTTTCTTCAATTTACAAAATTTCTTCAGACATATTTCACATAGTATCCTTCTAAAAGTCATCAAGAACTACATATTATTTGTTAGGACACAATGATAACTCTTCATTACACTTCGATATCATGAAACTAATTCTTTATTTACACTTAGCCCCCCTTCTTTGTTAGTTCAACACAAACCCTACTTGACAACGAATTAAAAAGATCAATTCCTATTGGATTTTATCCGATGCTATACCATTGATGATATGGATTAATGATTAGCTAAGGTATCTATCGTACTGAATAGATGCCACTTGTAACTAAGAGAATCACTGAATGAATGAATACCATTGAAAATCTACTAAATGTCAATTGAGTATATATCAATATGTTGTATTTGATATTGAATACATCTCAATAAATGAATTGTATATGACACTTAAGATATCATGACTACAAAATAGGTAGATATTAAGATTAATTACTTACTCCTGTTACTCCTAATGGAGCATAGGCTGCCGACAAGCATTCTGCAACCCACTCTGTTCTGGGCCTTCTTTTCTAGTTCCATCCAATTCATGTTCATTTTTCTTATGTCTATCTCCATTTTCCGGCGTAATGTCTTCTTTGCTCTTCCTCTTTTCCTTTGACCTTCAGGATTTCATATTAGGGTTTGCCTTGTGACGCAGTTGAGTGCTTTCATCAATGTGTGTTCTATCCACTTCCAGCACTTCTTCCTGATTTCTTCCTCCGCTGGAAGCTGGTTTGTTTTTTCCCACAGTTGGTTGTTACTATAGTGTCCGGCCAACGGATCCAAATTGTTTTGCGTAGACAACTGCTAATAAACACCTGTATTTTCTGGATGATGACTTTCGTAGTTCTCCAGGTTTCTGCCCCATACAGTAGAACTGTCTTGACACTTGCATTGAAAATCCTGACCTTGGTGTTGGTTGACAGACAGTTGTTTTGAATTCCAGATGTTCTTCAATTGTAAATATGCTGCTCTTGCTTTTTCGATCCGCGCTTTCACATATGCATCAGATTCACCATGTTGATCAATGATGCTGCTCAAATATGTAAACGTTTTTACATCTTCCAAATCTTCTCCGTCAATTGTGACTGGATTGATGCATTCTGTGTTGTATCGGAGAATCTTGCTTTTCCCTTTGTGTATATTCAGACCTACTGCTGCTGAGGCTGCTGCTACAGTGGTCGTCTTCTCCTGCATTTGTTGTTGCGTTTGGGATAGAAGGGCCAGATCATCTGCGAAGTCTAGATCATCCAGCTGCTTCCTAGATGCCCACTGTATCCCGCGTTTCCCTTCAGACGCTGACGTTTTCATGATCCAATCGATCACCAGGAGAACGCTAACTAGATACTAAGATATTTATTACTTAGATACTTTCTCAATTTAAACATAAACATTGCTGGAATAGTCTAAAAATAGGAAGTAAAGTATCCAAGATTTCGCTTCTATACATATATCCATCTGTTTCATAAAAACTTAGATATTGTTCTCTTTACTGTTTTTTTTAAATTACAGATAGCTCATGTGATACGTGAAGTTCAACAATATCATCAAACACCATATCTTATAACGCATAGACAAGAAGTAAGTGCGATTCATTCAATCTGAAATAATATACATTATGAATATATAAGGAATTACGTAGATTGTTAACATTTTTCGAAGCTTAACAAGACTGCCACATTCAAAAACCTCGAACAGCTAAACGACTATTTCGTTGTGGATGGGTATTGCTGAGAAGTCCCATACTAGGGAAAAAATAGGATGTCTAGTGCTTCTAGGTTCGGCTTTTGCCAACTTACGTCACGTATGGCGAAGGCGAGATATCCGACTATCAATTAACGGACGACTATACTGCACAGCAGTTCATTCTATTCTACATCACGGCTGCGAAATGTGGCCATTAAGAGTAAAAGATATTCATAACCTACTAGTATTTGACCACAGATGCCTTAGAATTATTGCTCGAATCTGCTGAGATCATCGGGTAAGTAATAGTAAGGTTGGACGCATGGTATTAGGGAATGATGATAAATCAGTTGATGAGGTTGTAAATGTTCGTCGACTGAGATGGTTGGGCCACGTGGTACGTATGACTGAACACCGATTACCAAGACGTGCAATGCTAAATGGTGTTGGAGATGGTTGGAAAAAAGTTAGGGGTGGCCAAACCAAAACGTGACATCAGTCATTGAAGTCAATAATTTCTAGTCTGAACCATTTTGATAGATGCAGACTACTTGGTTGGGGTCCGCGTGACTATCGTAACCAATGGTTGAAGACACGAGGTGACATGGATCACAATCGATCACAATGGTGTAGGTGTATACACTCTCTGTCTTCCCTTAAACTGTGAGATTAAAATTGCTTCATATCTTTATTTCTACCAAGTAATTCTTCCTTCCTGTACTATGTCCTTATATGCAGTCTTTCTTTTATAAATTACAACCACTGGATTAACTACTTCTATGAATCCAGTGTTCATCTTGTTTTGCTAATGAGGTATGGCAACTTGAACGGATGCGCATATATGTGCTTGGTCCTACGTTGAAGCTGGTTGACTTCTAGGTTTCTAATGGTTATCTAACTTAGATCAGTTCATAACTTAAGTGAAATCTGACGATATCTACAACCTCATATTGACGAAAATTAATCCAAACTGTGTTATTTATGAATTTTATTATGGGATAATATTTGCACGATGTTAATGTCTCTACTATATCTCGATTTTGATACAACAGTTCTCCATAATACTGAACATTTCTACCGAAGAAACTCTTATTTCACATCTGAATTAACGTCTATGTTACTTGGTTGATTGTTTTACTATAAGAAATTGTTAATCACTTTTTCTTCTCGTTCGATGCATGTTTTCATTAGTAATTTTAGATCAAATCGATCAGTGTAGGTAACTGAGTTGTCTCAATGAATGTTAATATTAGTTCAGATATTCCCTTGATTATTGTTCATTGTAATTTCGTATAGTTCGAAATGTTTAAATACCTGAATTCATGGGTCAATCTAAGTTAGAACATCATTGAAAACCTGGAAGCACCGGACGGCCGTTCCGTCCTATCACGAGACTCTTCAGCAGTGCTCATTCACAATCCTGCACTCAGGATCGTGAATAATAATCATATTCTCACTGAAGACAAGATTCAAGATGAATTTCCTGGAGTTCTAATGAGAAGCCGTGATCAATGGAGTCCAGTCGCTATCGGGTGTGAGACAGATATCCACCTTAGACAATGGATGAAGTGTTGCGCGAAATCGTAGATCGATTAAAGTTAGACATTAACATCATTGGATGCCAGTTCCGTGGTTTCGGGTTTAGACATTCGCTCACGAGGCCGAGGGCCCTGGGTTCGAGTCCCGAGTACGGGATCTTGAACGTGCACTGCTGAGGAGTTTCATACTAAGAAGAAACGGTTAATTGCTTGCAGGTTTTCAACTATGGTCTAGCTTAGATGGACTCATGGATTGAACTGTTAAAATATCACAATCTTCACAAATCCCTGTTTCAAAATGTGCTTTCTTTTTAACGAACAGTGTGAAAGCGATTATATTGTCATGCTATATCGCTCTTGTAATCATATAATGCTATCCTAAATCAAACTAACCATATTTGGATTTGCTATAGATTATTGATTATTGAAGTGGTAAAAAAGCACGTTTCATACTGTCAGTATATAGTGATATCATAAATATAAAAGATAAATGTCGTTTTTGAATAGTTCCAGAAACATATAAAAGTCAATTCATTTAGATTCTTTCCTAATTTGATTAGTCGTATATAAAAATTATTTACGATATGAGAATCTTTTCCAGAAACCTCTAGAATTCCAATGTCACATGTACTCATGTAAACAGATTAATTCATGGGTGTAAAGCTTTAAGTGTATCACTGATTATTCGTTGAATAGTAATCGATTTTTTCTTTGTTTATTCAGTACTTACCGTTGATCTAATTCTCTTGATCATATTGCAATGTTTTCACTTAACTTAATGATTCAATATTGAATACACTAAGTGAAGAAGTCAGGTAACTGCTGATGATGATTGAAAGGAAACTCTGAATTTAGATTTCTTATTAGTTAAGATTCATCAACAAAGTTTAATTGTATTGTTGAGGGAACTATTGCACTCTAATGTATTCCGACCTGCATCTTACAACTTTTTATGTTGAGTGACTCAAACTAGTAGTCAGATTTCAACGTCATCGAGGTAATTCAATGCTCAAATAACTTAGCGTTAATGTTTAACACTGTAAAGTTTCATAAACCACAAGGAGAATCGGTTAGCTAGGTCAATTAGCACAAAACTTGAGTCTGGCATTTTCAGCGGATTACCTTCGATTATCTAATAGGGTGAAGTGTGAAACATTACAATAGTCTAGAAAACAATAAACATTTTAGTTCAGTTAGTTCGCTTTATAAATTTAGATAAAGCCAAAACAAACATTGATACAGAATCATATGAATTCATTGTATTTCATGGTTTACCATTAGCTGCTTACAACTAAATCTGTATTAGAAGTTTACATTAAAATAAGATGTAGTGTGAAACAATTAACATAAGAGAATGCAATGAATTGGAATGACAAAGGTTATCAATAATAACTACATATATATATGTAAGCACAGGTCATAGGTGGCTATAAGCAAAGATGGATAGTGGCTAGCAGTGGAATCTGGAACATACGTTTCGTCCTATTTGAGACTCGTCAGCCGGATGTATCTGTATCTAAGGATTGATGTTCACTTTAGGACTCGAACCCAATACCGTTCGCTTCATAGGACATCGTGTCATCCACTTTGCTTATAATGCTTGTGAATTAGAACAATATCGAAGCAATACGCACAGTATTCACATATACCAATAAGAGACTGATCAATTGCAGTCGTAAACATTAATGAGAAAATTCATGTAAACCATATCAAGGTTATAGATTATTTGAGGTTACAATCAAGTAAACATTAGGGATGGATAATGTAATAAGCTGAGGGAAGATCAAAGACAAATAAGATAATGTTATATCCCGGTAAGAATAATGAATGGTAACTTTTGGGATCCATTTATGAACCAATGCTATGAGTGTATTTTTATCGTATAATTGTCATGTAACTAACCTGTTCATATTCATGTCCCTCTTATTATGAGTTTTATTTTGACCTATGAACCATTATTATAGGTTTTACCATTCTTGAATTATGCCCTGTCTATTAGTCACTACCTCCCATATTCACAGCCACATTTGGCTAAATCTTGTACAAATGTTGTTTTCTATTTTATGGTATGATGTGGTCTGTCTGGTTGATATATAAACCGAGTATGTTTGAAATATAAGGATTCATATTACAGAGGCTGAGATTGGTGTTCTGAACTTAACTGGCTGGGCTAGACGGGGAGCGAAACCAATGAGGACTCTAGGCTGCTCGTACGGGTTTTTATGCGTCACTGGTTTGACCGATAATTCGCTGCTCTCTGATTGGCGGTATCGTGACGTTAACCATTAATAGGGCACACAGGTTCACAGGTTATAACAGATAAATGATGTGATAATTTTAACCTTTGCTATTTTCTAATTCTTTACATTCACTTATATCAATTGATTCTACATTATTATCTTACTTCAATGTAAAATTCTAATACAAATTTGGTTGTAATCAGCTAATAAGAAACTATGAAATATATGGATTCATGAGATGGTGGAGAAGATTTGTAGCTCAGATAGATGATTTTGATGGAGTTTTGTTCTCTGAGCTGGATAGTTTGGTCGTGGAGCTTTCATAGTTCGTCTGAACGACATCATCAGCACAAACTTCAGATAGAAGTGAAGTGTTCGAATTTCTCCACATGTGGTTCACAGCTTGTTCTGTACACCTCGACGTTGATTGGTCCTTATTGACCCTAAATTTGTCATTGTTTACTTCTTTGTTTTGGTTGTGTCTCCCATTGGTTTGATTTTCGTCTCTGTATTTATGCATAATTTTCCTGATTGGTTGATAAATTGGATCGATTTCAATGTGCTTGTTGATTGCTGATTGACCTGAGTGCTAGGCTTCTAAAAATTCTCTGGTGTTTTTGGAATTTCCTGTCTAAGATTTCTACATTTTTCCAATCGAATGAGTGTCCGCAGTTGTCTACGTGTATCGATATAAGTGAGGAAGTATTATGGCGTTTGACTTCTAATTGATGTTCATGTAAGCGAAGGTGAAGGGGGCGTCTGCTTTGTCCGATGTAATGTTTGTCGCAGTTGGCACAATTTATTTTGTAGATGATGTTTGATTTGTCTTCCTTTGTTATTTGCACAGGATTCATTGTAGTGATTGTGTCAGTTTGTGTGCCACACCTATCCTGAAGGTTTTCAGTAGTCTCGTTGCGGTTTCTGATATGCCTTTTATGTATGGTAGGGCGATCCTTTTGTTGATTTCTGTGCTTGAACGATGAAAACTCCACTACCAAACCATCCAGCTCAGAGAACAAAACGTTATCATAATGAATTCATATTATTCTGTATCCATATTTGTTTTGCCTTGATTTAAACATTTTTAGTACCGTAAGCATTTGATTCATTGAATTGATCAACGTTGTTTGTTTGTTTTTCTTTTATAACTTTTCTTTTTTTTATATTTAGGTTACTGATTATCTATTAGATCCATCAAGATTACTTGATGAAGAACAAACTTATCAAGCATCATTAATTATTGAACCAAGACAATCGATTAATCGGCAATCTTTATCAGGATTCACATAATCGATCAATCAATCAATAATATGACATGGAAACTAGAAATCAAGATATTGATTATTTTCTATATATTTCAATAAATATAAATGTATCGATAATGATTAAAGAATTAATTGCCTTGTTGTCAAGTGTTTGTTTTATTTTTTATTTTCTTTCCAAACTATATTCTTTCTTGATTGTTTTCTTTTGTACTTCTCTTTTTATATCATTTAAATGTATTTTAAAAAAACAAAAGGAGTACTTCATTTGAATTTAGTTACTAAGTCAATATGTTTGCATTGATATGTGATTGGAAAATAAAACAAAAAAAAGTGATTTATGTTTATCATCTTTGATTTCTATATTGATTGAGGGTTTGTTTTTTTGTGTTTATTATGTAATCATTATTTGTGATTTGTCAATATGACCATTGTACATTCCATAATACACTTTTTTTCTTAACTCTAGGCAGTTTTCTTTTTTTGTTGCTTTGGTTTTGGACGTAAATGTCATTTACATTGGAATTCTTTTAATTCTATAATAAGAAAGTTAACTACTATCTATTACATAATAATAGTAAGAGTTATAACTAATTATCTTTAATTGTTTTTTCTCTCTGATCATTCTTTCATCTATGATTTATCTAGTTTATTTTCATTGTATGTGTGCTCATACCCTCTTGACTATCAATATGATCAGCCTCCCCCTCTCTCTATATACATGTATAAGTTTCTTTAGATTATTTCCTTTTGTCTGTTTCTATGCAACATTCCATTAGTGGTTTTAATTTGTTCAAAGAAAAGAAATGAGAAAACAAAATACTTTTTCCATGAATCAGATTATAAATTGCCAAATTTCTTATTGTTTCTCTCTCTCTCTCTCTCTCGTTATTATTTTTGTCACATTTGATCATTGAAAAAGCGCCATTTTCAAATTACCTTTTAAATCAAATATGCTGCATTTTATGTTGTTTTTGTTGCTATGCTTATTTTTTTGTTGCTATGTCTCTTTTCGTATATATAGATATATGTAATTGTAAACACGTTTGATATTTCACATCATATTAAGTGTTAAACTATTTTATTTATGTGTAATTTTGTAAGTTTGATAGTTCACTATTAATTGAATTCAGTTTTGTGATAGAAATATATATACATCTATTGTTCATGTCAACTTCTTATTTATTTCCCCGGCTGATATTCCTTTTTTTTCTTTTTTTTGCTTTTCTTTTTGTTCTTTTCTCAAGAATATTATTTCACTTTTCTTCGGAGATATCAAATAATTTTTATTATTATTATTATGATTATATAGATAGATAGATATTTGATTGTTTTATTGAATAGGGAGAAAAAATGAGAGAGAAAAATATAAAAAAAGAAGAAAAAACAAAAAAAAGAAAATATAATTTTAATCTTATTTTTATGTTTCTATAGAAGAGATTTAAGAAGAAAAAAATTATTGATTTTTATATCTTATATTAATTTGTTGTTATGGTTTTATTCCTTTCTGTTTTTTTAATTATTTTATTCAATAAGCATTGAACAAATATTCAACATTGAACATTGAATACTAAACATTTAAACAACATATATATATATATATATATTGCTTTATAATATCTTCATTGTGATTCATTTCTTGTGAATGTGTACTACATGTATTGATTGCATTTCTTTTTTGTTTTATTTCTTTTTTTGTTTTTCGTTTTTTTTTCGTTTTTTTGTTTAAAAGTGTATATTACATAATAATGAAGCGAAGAGATGAATCAGATTTTCAATGATGTTTTATTCTTATTATATAAGACTTGCTTGTTTGATTACTTGAATAGTTCATAGTTGAATTCTCAATCAAATCTAATGTATTTGATTATGAAGACCATGAGAGAGTAAATAAACAGAATTAAGATATATTGAAACTATTGAATGTCAAAATTGAACAATCTTTTATAGAATATTAGAAAGAAAAAGAAAACTCAAAGGAATGGTTAGTTGTTCTTTTTTTTTCATTATTATAATTCTGAGAAATAAATAGGATACAGTCAGTTAGCTACAACTTAGTACCAGGTATATATATGCAACGCTCCAAGTTGATACATTTTATTAGGACAACAATTCTTGTTCATTCTTCTCGTGTCTATCTCCATTTTTTGGCGTAATGTATTCTTACGTCTTCCTCTTTTTCTTTTGGCCTTCGAGATTCCATTTGATGACTAGCTTTGTGATGCAGTTGAGTGTTTTCATCAATGTATTTCCTATCCACTTCCAACGCTTCTTCCTGATTTTCTTCCTCTAGTGGAATTTGGTTTATTCTCTCCCATAGTAGGTTGTTGCTGATAGAGTCTGGTCAAACGATCCGAAGAATTTCGCGTAGACAACTGTTAATAAACACCTATACCTTGTGGATGATGGTTTTCGTAGTTCTCCAGGTTTCCGCTCCGTACAGTAGAATAAAAGATTGTGAATAGGGATATAGTACAGGAAGAACGAATTAGTTCTTACAAACAAAGATATGAAGCAATTTTAATCTCACAGTTTAAGGGAAGACAGAGAGTGTATACACCTACACCATTGTGATCGATTCTGAGTTATGTCACACAGAGTCGTCAAGCATTGGTTACGATAGTCACGCGGACCCCAACCAAGTAGTCTGCATCTACCAACGTGGCTCAGACTAGAAGTTAGTAACTTCAAGCACTGATGCTACTTATTGGTTTGGCCGTCCCTAACTTCTAATCATCCCCAACATTAGTCAGCATTGTGGGTCGTGGTAATCGGTGTTCGGGTATACGTAACATGTGGCCCAACTATCTCAGTAGACGAACATTTACAATCTCATCGACTGACTTACTATCACCCTCCAATATCCTGCATCTAACCTCACTATTACTTACCCGATGATCCCAGCAGATTCGAGCAATATTTCTAAGGCATCTGTGGTCGAATACTAGTAGCTTACGAGTGTCTTCTACTCTTAATGGCCATGTTTCGCTGTCGTAAATTAAAACAGAACGGGCTGCCGCACAGTATACTTATTCTTTTACTGATAGATGGATATCTCGTATTCGTCATAGGTGACGTAAGTTGACAAAAGTTGAACGATCTTTCTAAATTTGTGCTGAGATTTCATATGACACCAATCCATTAGGGCTGATCAGACTTCCAAGGTAAGTGAAGTTGTCGACGCGTTCGACTACTACCTGACCGTTGCTGCCACCTTGATGTGGTAATCGGGTTTGCATATCGTGATGATCCAACCGAGCTATTGTTATGATGTGTGTATTGCAGATTATGGAGCAGCGTTTTATTGATCGATTCAGTGACACGTAAAACACGTACGAACGACCCACAGTTCCGATTGGTCCCGCTTCCCTGTCTAGCCCATCCATTTGAGTCCAGAACACAAATCACAACCTCTGAGATATGAATCATTGTATTTCAGACATACTCTATTTATATACCAACCAAACAGACCACATCGTACCATAAAATAGAAAACAACATTTGTACAATATTTAACGAATGAAATAAATAATGGAGAATAGGAAATGTCCATTTAACGTCCAAAGACATCATTAGACTTAACATGATAATGAGTGGCACATTATTCTGCATGCATAACAGCTAAACTGACTGGAACATATGGTCTTGTATGTTCTACCATGCGAAGCAGGTCGATTGATGAACAGTAAGACTAAAAGCATCAAATCAAGGTCTGAGGACAAAGTCTTACTGCCAACTGCAGAGGTGTGTGACAGCAGTAAGATGTTTCCCTCGGGCAAACAGCATCTGCAAGGATTCTGCCTTCTTATAAGGAAGGATGGATTTAGAAAAGGTCGAGCCTAAAAATGCACACCTTGTATTATTCCATGGATATTCGTCTCCGTCAGTAAGGTCTAAACAAGTACGAAGCTAACACGAAAATTACTCACAAAAAAGGTCGTGTGTGGCCGTTCTCAAGCAGTTATCTCTTGGGCACTGTGGTCACGTTTTCAGGTCACTCAGACCACCCTTAAACCAATTTTCTTTTCAGATACCTCCAGTAGAACCCTTCCACGATGTGGGTAACCGGTAAGTGATAACTACCCTCATAACTCTAACAGCACTCAGAATCACTGAACAATATACAGTCCTTAGAATATCAAATGAATTGTAATTATTAGTAATCGCTGATAAAAAGTTAAAGGAGGTTCAGAATAGTAAAGTAAGCAAGTAACACCAAACCTTCTTTAACTTATTGTATGATACATGTTATACAATTAATTAATGAATATTTTCTGCAATTCCTTTCATTATAGAATATGCAAATTAATCAAATTAGGGGAAGTTGTAACAGGTATTTCCGAAAATTCTTTCAAATCATATGAATAGTTTACAAACTCTCACAACTTTACTCATCATCTTTATATCAGCATTTAGTATATTCTGGTTCTAACTTAATCACAAAGCTTGAAAGTATATCGATTATCATGAACTTTAGCTTATATAATATTATATTGTAATATTGTAGTAAAGGAGAACACAAGCGGGAACAATTAAATGTATTTGAATACAAAATTAGATAACATCTTAACAAAATCTGAACACGTACCACACTCGTCCTCCCTTTAAACACAGTCGTTCATGCGGTGGTTCTGCTATCTGTGCCACTTTGTTCTTTTCTGTAGTCTGTGCAACGCTTCTCGTCAACATGTAGAGTCTGCGGTGCGATCAAGCTTGATATTTCCGTCAATCTGCCGGGCCATCAAAATCCGACGTACACCCAGAACCCGGAACGTTCAACACCTGTGCCACAGAGACCCGCTGGGCCATCTACATCCGATGTCCGCCCAGCACCTTCACGTCCCACTGCTCCTCGCCGTAGAAATTATCCACTAAAGTAAGTGCCACCGTGTAAGATCCATTTTGAATGTTTTGTGTGTGAAAATCCCTCCATGTATACACTTACGGTTTGTTCCTATTGATTCCTTTAGTTGTGCATTTTGTTAGTCTTTTTGATTCCATTTGAGTTGGTAATATTTGTATTTTATTTTGGTTTTTATTTTTATTACGCCTTCATTAAGTTTCCGTATTTTTTCCTGAACTGCATTTATGTTGTTTTTACTTGATACTTAGTCTTGGCGGCAGCCATATTGGTTTGTTCCTCCTTTTGATTGCTTTACCTGTGTTGACTGGTTGTGAATTGAGGCATTCTTCCAGAATTGGAAACACTCTGTGTTATAAAGCAATCAAATAGTATCTTTTCAACGAATCTGTACGTGGTCTATCCAGACAGGATAGAATATAATTTATTTGTTGTGATTGGTAATTTTCTAGCATCCTTTATCAACTTTCTTATTTACTGTAGTTTAGATTTGATCAATTGAACAATTATTGGTTGGATAGCTGAGTGGTCATATTTGTTTAGGTAACAATGTACATTTAAATTTATGATGCATTTTAGAACTGTCACTTTATCCAATCAATTTGTTTTGATTTCAACCGGGCAAGGGCGCGTATCTAACCCACTGATATGATAGGAAGAAAAAATCAATTTTTCATGGATTTACTCATTATGAGTTTTGTTCAAGATTACTTCCACTTTGATTCAATGTCATGATAACTCAATGTAGTAGTTGTTTTCTTTTCTCGTCTGATATTTTCTCCTGTATAATATACGAGATATTCTTGCATTCAGTTGATATGAACTATGCTCATTAAGTGATTTGTTATAACTGAGTATGTGATTTCATCCTAATTATTAATCAAAATGGGTGTACAATATATATATAAACTATTTTGATCATCGTTCATCGTTGTGTTTTGGGATTAATAATTCTTCATTTATACCTGTCTTCTCTTCTTACTTTCGCATCGTGAGAATTGCAGGGTCCCTCTTTCCGAGTATAAGTGATCAGCGATTTTTTCCGGCATAACAATTGCGACGACCGGATATAACACCTACCTAGACAGCTATTCTTCAGTCCAAGTCTTATTTTGGATCTTACACGCCCAGCCAGAACACTCCACTAGACGTCACTTCCCCACACCAGACAGATCTAACTAGCACCTCAGCTCCAGGTCCGCAACAGATTCCACAGAACAGCACCTTTTCCCTCTCCTGTTTGGCATTGACACTAAATGTAGTGAATGAGAACACAAATGTGGACAATCGAATTGATTGGAATACAAAATTGCAGAACATCTTAGTAAAATCTGAGAACCATACAGTAAATACTTCATTTACAAAATATTAATTAATCGTCTCAGACTACATTGATCTTTCGTTTCTACAGCAATCATTCTCTGTTTTCGTTCTCTTTCCTTTGATCTCAAACTTCTGCCTACATGCATCTCTTCTACGATTGATGAT